TGTAAGTTTGCTAATAAACATCAATTTTGCCAGGTTTACATCCCTGAGAAGCATCCCTGCATATGAGAACTATGTGCAGGAGCGTTTTGATCGTTGTTTGGATCTATTCTTGTGCCCTCGAGTTCGAAAGAAACGTGTGAGTAAATTACTTGACTGAAAAATAATCAATTTACTTTTTTAAGATGTATAATTTTTTCTAAATCATTTTTTAATCAATATTTTAATTAGTTTGTAATCTATCTTTTTGTTTGTACCAGCTGAATATTGATCCTGAATCTTTGAAGCCAAAGCTTCCAAGTCGAAAGGATCTTAAGCCTTACCCAGTGGCATGCTATATTGAATACAAAGGTCATGAAGATGCCGTTACATCAATTTCTGTTGAAGCTTCAGGGCAATGGATGGCATCAGGTATGGATGATGATAATATATTTTAGTTCCAGTGAAGTAGGGATGGAGGTGGGTCTCCTTATGTTCTGTTTTCTTTGAAGGTTCAAGTGATGGAACTGTTCGTATCTGGGATGTTCCAACTGGTAGATGTCTTAGACGGTGGGAGGTTGGTGAAGCCATTACCTGTGTTGCTTGGAATCCTTCGCCTGATATGCGTATTCTTGCTGTCTCTGCGTAAGTCTGGTTTGAGCGTGTAAAGTGTTTTTATTTTGTCATAGATACTATGGGGATTTCCTCTTGCATTTGCATTAGGATTTGGCATTGTGTATGAATCAATGGAAAATTTTCTGCAGGGGACAAGATTTACTTTTGTTGAATGCTGGTTTGGGGGACGAAGAAGAACAGAAAAAGATTCGTGAGCTTCTCCATGTTGAGTCATCTGCACCAGATAACTCAGGTTAGTGTTTGCTGTGATCTCTTTCTTCAACATACACGAAAAACCTGTTTAAAAGAAGGTTCCAAGATTTCCCAATTCGTGGTCCATAAGAATTATAAGATAATACTTACCAATTCATGTGAACAAAGATGTGGTAAGGACAAGGGGAAAAATAGGTAGAACGAGGAACCTCTTTACTGAAAGATTAACAACTGGATTAGTCTAAACATTTAAGGTTGTTTTGCACTACAAAATATGCTTCTACTCTTTTTTTAAAGGTAGTTCAAGGCATGGCAATACGTTATAAGTTTGCTTCAACCTAATGGAATGCAAAGGGCAGCAAAAGCTCATAACTCATCTGCCAACCACTGCTCATCTTTCTGTTCCATGAGCTCAATGTCTGCAGACTGGCTTATGCATTGCCCAACTAAACTTGTAATTGAAGCAGAACAAATTTAAGTTTGGGATTGAAAGTTAGCTGATCAATAGGTGATGATATAGGCACAAGATTTAAGTAGGACAGGATTTTTAATGGTCCAAGCCTATTATTCTTTCTTATTTTCTTACCTTTCCTTTGTGTTTACAGATGGAAAAACCCCCAGTGTGAGCTGGCTTCAAGATAATAAGCACGAAGGTTTAAAGTTAAAGCATTTTAAGGTATTTTCTTGCTGGTCTCGAGAATGATTACATTTTAATTTGCTTGTTGGATTGAATTTGTGTAATTTTGTTTGACCCCAATTTATGTGTTCATGTAGACTGTTTCTGCAGTAGAATGGCACCGGAAAGGTGATTACTTTTCAACAGTTATGCCAGCTGATATCCTTTTTACTAGCTGCCTGAGTAATAGGGGTTTTCTTACATTTCAAGCATAAATTAATAGTTACACATGCCTCATTTATTATTTAATGACTACTTGCATTAGCATTTGACATGCCTAATATTGGTTCGTCTTGAACATATTTTTCCCACAATTCAACTTGGCTATGTGGTCTTGAGCGCAGTATCAAGTGCAGAGGGCCTTCGACATTCTAATGCACATAAAGAAAAATATCATTTAGGCTTGATATTTTATTTTTCATGCCATGTTACCAATTCAAGTGTCTTAATCCTTAAACATATTAAAAGTAAACTGTACTTATTGGATCTTGTGCCCTTGCTTCTGCTTATATTCTCCTACTAAGACGATCAATAGTAGCATAAAAGTTTTGAAATACAAACATTTAATCAGGAAATAGCTTTGTTTTTCTTAACATGTTCTTTACGTGAATCAAGAGCAGTTCTGATTCACCAGTTATCAAAGAAGCTTACGCAAAAACTTCCATTCAAGTTGCATGGACTTGCTGTTAGGTCAACTTTCCATCCTACCCGTTCCTTCTTCTTTGTTTGTACTAAAAAGACTGTCCGTGTGTATGATCTGTTGAAGACCAAGCTCATTAAAAAGCTTGACACTGGGCTCCGTGAAGCTTCCTCCATTGCTGTTCATCCAGGAGGCACGGTTACTTTTATTATGAGAATCATATTTTGTTAAATACTTTTCCTGTAGCCATATTGTCGGAAGTTAATCATCGTAGTTATTTTCTTCCATGCATTTCCTTTCAGGTGATAATCTGATTGTGGGAAGTAAAGAAGGGAAGATGTGTTGGTTTGATATGGATCTTTCATCTAAACCTTACAGAGTTCTTAAGTAAGTTCTGGCCCAATCTTTTGTGTGCGTCACAATTCAACCCATTAGGGACAAACACTTCAAATACGAGCTATTTATTTGGTTAGCAAAGAATCCTGGCTGGAAATTAATGTCATGGCATGGGTGATCTTAAATACTGTTGCAACTTTACAGGTGTCACCCAAAAGATGTCAACAATGTGGTCTTTCATCGATCATATCCATTGTTTGCTTCGTGTTCAGATGATAGCACTGCATACGTTTTTCATGGGATGGTCTATTCTGATCTCAATCAAGACCCTCTTATCGTTCCTTTAGAAATTCTCCGTGGCCATGCAAGTTCAAATGGAAGAGGTGAGAACTTCTACTATATACATTTGGTTTGCTCCTGAGGCACAAGGAGGGAATTGAGGTGTTAGAAGATGGGAAAATGACTTATAAGCATCTGCTATTATTCCTTCTAATCCTTAATGTAGGACTGGAGGGAATATTATTTTTTGACGTTTGAAAATTAGGGACATTAATATCATTTTACATTAAACCTTCCGACCATTTTCATTTGCTATATTTGAGATTGACTTAGTTGGCTTCACTCTATTGCAGGGATACTGGACTGTAAATTCCACCCAAGCCTGCCTTGGTTATTTACTGCTGGTGCGGATAAAGTTATTAGACTCTACTGTCATTAGAGATAATAGGGAAATTCTATTCAATACGAGTGTATGTGAAAGGTTTATCATTTTCTTTTTAATCACCCTTTGTTTTCAATTTCTGCAATATTCACCAGTCTGCTTGCAGAAATTGAAGATCACCCCTCTCTTGGCTCAAGTTTGCTGCAATGTGTGGGAAATGCCTCATTTTATTGCCGTGAATCAATTTTGTATCAATTATTCCACATGTTGTAAACCAGCGTGCAGTAGACCTGTATTCTTTAGACATTTTATAAAATTGATTCCGTGATTTTATAATTTTTCTTCTATTTATATTTTTTTTAGTAAAATCTTTAGGTGAGGGTTGATTATTTTGTCTCTAATTTATTAATTTAACTTTTTTGTAGCAAAAAAAAAATATAATAATAGAAAATTTTTATTTGTTTTTGTAAAGAAGCTTTTATCTTCATTTTTGGCTAATGAAAAGGATGTGTGTTACACTAATGGGCACATAATTACAAAACGCTGCTGACTGGGCATCAGAATGAATTGATCTAATCAGTTTCCAGACATGGTATAGTCAAAGGGAAAATACAGTCGTAAGACAAGCTCATTCATGTTAAATGGTCATATTTCAGTCTTTCCAAGATTTACATATAAGCAAGCCAAATAAAGTTCTCCAATGCACGCTTGAGTAGTGCCGGCTGAGTTTGCTTCCAAGTGAGTCCTCGAAAATCCGTGCATTTTGTTGCTGGGAATAACCTTTAGCCAGCAATTACAAGCGGTTAGGCGATAATGGAAAATATCATCCAAACCCTCAATTGTGGAATGGCAAACTTCACAAGCCCCATGCTCTTCAGCATTAGTGATGGACATCGTCTCAGATCAAGCTAGAGAAAAGCTGGCACAAGTTGCATCCCTGGCCACTTCAAGCCTAAGTCCAGGATTTGTTTACATGATGCTTCTTTCAAGTTGTGATAGGCTGACGAATTGCTCAAATTCAGCCAAACGTCTTTTCTCATTTATTTCGATAATTCTGTAACCGATTCCCTGTATTGCTTCTTCTTCTTCTTGGCTTATTTTTCAATTATATTTTTTGCTATATAGGATGACTTATTGATGATCTGGCATCATCTATTGATGATAAGGACAAAATTATTAAAAACAAAAAAAGTTGGGGATTGAACCCAATTGAAAGTTTGGGGAACGAGTTAAAATACCGAGTTATAATTGAGGAACTGCGTTTCAAAACTTTAAAGATTAAAAGATTAATTATTCTTACAAATTTTGAAAATAAAATACAGATTTATATACCTTCAATAAAATTAAAAATTAAACCTAATTTTCAAGTCAAACAAAAATAAAGTAATAAAACTATTCGTTGATTCCTTATGTTGAAAATTAGAGTACAACTTACTAATCTATTCGAAACCAACCCCATCACCTATTTGGCTAATCATTTAATTTAGACTTTTCTCCCAAACGAGGAGTTCGTACATGACAATTGATGCGCATATACGCACATGCATGCAATCTTAATGCCATGTTGTTAAGAATGCCAAGATATTCCTTTGATCTTATTTATAAATTACTTTCAATATTTTACATAGACTAAAAAAAAATTAAATTTCATTAATTCTCATTTAAAATTCAACTTTTCAACTTGATTCTTTTTGATATACATTATATCTCATATAAACAAAATCAACATCATAATAAATGAAAAATAAAATTATACATCCATAAAAAAAATTCTTTCAATGCCCTATAAATAAGATCAAAAAATGTCTTCTTTTTTACCAAAAGACTAACTTGCAATGGAGTTGCATGCAACACCTGAAGTTAGCTATAAAAACACAAGATAATTTCGCTCTAATAACGAACCCTTTATTCCATTTCTCGTGAAAGCATTTGAGTATTGAATTTATCCAAGAAATATTTCATCCTGCAGCTATATAAATACTATACAAATATGAAGTTGAAATTTGGGACGTCTCATTTGTGCGTCTTGTCCCCAAACAATTACAATTATCATCATAGGATCAAGACAAAAGCTGAACCGCGGCAATGGTAGGTATTTTTTCTCGCAATTTTTGTGTAACAGCAACACGCACAGTCATAACACCAGCAGCTGGACCTGTGATCCGGACCTTCACAATTGGCTCTTCAATGGCTACCAGCTCAAGAGTCCCATGAGCTGCTCCAACCAGGTACGGCCTTATTTCCTCCAACGCCTGAAGCAGTTGTTAATTGAACCACATTAACAACTAATGCGAACATTGAACGACAAGCATTTTACAAGAGAGATAGAAAATTCTCCCATGGCAATAGTGATCAAACTAGTCTTGACTTATTGATGAAATAGAAAGTATTCTAGAAAGCATTTACTGATTTGTGGATACGAGATCAGGAATCTTGCTTAGCTCATAACTGGAGGGTTTTACAACATGAATAATCCTCGGAAGTCGCTTCTTCACGGTTTTATATTTTCTATTACATGACGAACAGTAACATCAAATTTTCAACCTTTGCCTTGATTTCTTTTCTAATTAATTACCAGGTATTAATCCATCATGTAGCCCCTGTCAGCTTTGATGACAAAAGAAATTACATGATAGGTAGTATTGATATTAAGAATTATAAATTTTAAATAGAATTAATATATTACTATACAATTTATTTGCATTTATTACAATATATTTATTACATTTTCTATTTATTATGCCCTTCTCTGCATATCTTTTTTTGTTTTTTTAAATAAAAAGAAAACAGCAAGGCCATTCTATTTCGACAAAATACCCACACCCAAGTTCCATAGCTTTGGGTCCGCTATCCCGATCATGATTTTCCTACCCCCAGAGGGAATCAATAAAAATTCAATCAATATAAATAGAATAAGAAAGCTTAACCTAACCCCCCTCATCATTTCTTAAATCTCAGAAAAAGAAAACGTCTGTTTCTCTTCAAAGAATACCAAGTTCTCAATCATTATGCCCCTCTCTTTGATTATTGTTCAGGGAAGACAACCTAAACTTTGGAAATTCTATAATATTCAGTCAACCGTAGTTCATAGAAATGCTAGAGAAAACACAAACATAATGTTAGAGCATGTCGTAACTAACCTTCTCAATATTTTCTTCATTTAGCTCAAGGCCAGTTTCTTCATCAGCTACTTGTTCTACTGCCACTATTTCAGGGATCTTTTCCATTAGACGACGCTCAATACCCAGTTTCATAGTAGTAACAGATGCAGGACAGGAGCCGCAAGCTCCTTGTAGCTTCAACCTTACAACATTGCCATCAATTTCATGCAAAGCCACATTCCCCCCATCAGAAATTAGATACGGACGAACTTCATCCAGCACAGCTTCTACGTTATCAGCAGTTATTGGCAATTCCACAGCTGGATCCGGAGTAGCAACAGCCTTCACTACTGAAAAAGGAACATGAAAATAAACCTTGAGGTGTTTGACATTAATTAACTGAAACAGGGAGAAAAAGAGAGTGGATTTAGAATTATGGGCAGACCAAGGCATCTGTGCTACTACATTAAAAGAGGTGTATTGTCGCACATATTGATCAACGGATTCTTATAAAGGTGTAATATATCAAAATTCAAAAGCACTTTATTTGCCATAAATAGTAATATATATATTTCCAGTTTTAATCTAAATCTATCAAACTAGGAGGTAAATTCAGCTTTTTGTACATGCATCTTCGATTTCCTTCTGGAAATATCAACATAGGAAAACATTACAAGGTCACATCACAACTAACTGTTAAATTCAATTATGAATTTCAACCAGAGGCAATACAATCAGTCTTCCAGGTGCTTCACAATTTAATTTATCAGTTTGGTAAATCAAATAGAGCCAGCTCACTGATTAATTTGAAAGACCTAAAAGGAGAGGAAAAGGATTGAATGGATAAAGGTTTGGCATCTCTAGTTCCTCAATCAAGTTCTATGTTTTACTTTCATTAAAGTTCAACATAATTATTAAGAAACCCCAGACTGATGAGTAGTGCCAATCAACCTTACAATCTATGAGTAATCAAGAAGTATTACATAATCATTTTAAAGAATAAAACAAACGAAGCGACTAATTTCTCAAGGAAAGGGACTTGGAAATGAACATGAGGCGATTTAACTTTTAAACCATCATTCTAACGAATGCAGTGAATATCCGTTTCGGAGTCGTGATTCTTCAACTCAAACCTCACAAGTCTCACCAGCTTTCAGAAATTCAACAACAGCAAACAATACGGCTCGAGATTAGTGGCGAAATAAAAAACCAAAATCAAAGTACTCACCAAGCCGTCGTTTCCCATGTGTCAGACGAACACGGCCAGAGCGCCACAAACTCTGCCGCACCGGAAAACCTCTGTTTTTTAGGTAGACATGGTTGCCAAAAAAGCTTGTACCCTGCGATTAATCAGAAAAGACGAAAATCCGATTAGGAACATGTCGTTTGACAATACAAAATGATTTATGCAACAAAAAGAAGCGCAAAAAAAACCTTTGAGGAACGAGAACAAGAAGGCGATTCTAGGGCCTGTTGGGTCCTGCAGTATGACGGCGTATTCAGAACTACTGCTTGCATCGCTGTTCTGTTTCTAATCAAGTGATGTCAAATGAACTTCAGATGACAAAACGCCGGCAAGTGATCGAGATTCTCTTCCCTTTTACCGTCGGTTTCTCAGCGCCCAAACCCGACCCGATGCCAGCAATGATAACCAGAAAATTCAGGCAGCCGTCTCGCGCTATATCTGAGTATCTGGCGTCGCTGTTCGGTGCTTCCGGCTTATTATATTTTATTATTTTATTATTTATTACTATTGTCATTGCTCTTTTTCCCGAAAATTTGCGGATGCGAAATTGACGAGTTCAACCCTCAATTTTGTGTTTTGGGCGATCATATCCCTCAATTGGAATTAGGCTCTTGGCCCAAAGAACCACAACATCCCCTTCTGAGAGACAACACCGAGCTCCAAGTCCAACCCAAGATGCCGACCGTGCTTGTAACAAATGAGTATTATTTTTTAAACTGTCATTTTTAATTATATATATTTAAATTATTTTTAATAAATTTTTTGATAATTAATAAAAATATTTTAAATAAAAATATAAATTTGAGGAATAAAGTTGGTCTTATTTTATGATGCAATTTTATTTTTAGCATAGAGTAGTTGACTTTTTCTTCTTCTTTTTATCAGGTTTTATATGCTCCTCCAGTCCTTAATATAAAACCTATTTAACTAATTTGATTAGATTAAAAAAGTTAGATAAGTCGGCTAACTGTAAGAAATATGACATATTTTTCCTAAAACATCGTAATCATCTTCTTTAATATCTACCTTTCCTCTTTACTTGATTATGATTGAAAGAGTATTTATAGGGGTAATTTAGAAAAAATTGATAAATATGAGAAATAAATCTTATATTTAGAACCAAAATCAACTCAATAATAGGTCCTATATTAAGAAGGGAGGATTACATATACTTCTTCAGTTCTTCCACCCTTTTTTTGGCCTTTTGCCATATAATTTTTTCAATTGTTAATACTATATACTACCTCCGGTATTATTTATAAGAGTTAGTTGACTAATTTGAGGAGATTAAGAAAATAAGTTAAATTAGTTATTTATAATAAATACATGTTGTCTTTTTTAAAAGATCCTTACTAATCAAGTATACTGGTTAGAACTAACATTATTAGAATGATTATGTTGAGAAAAAATACATAAATATGAGAAACAAGTAGATTGAAATCTTATTTTTAGGATTAAAATAAAAATCAAACAAGATGTTATATTAAGCACTATAGGTAATATCATTTTGTTTAACCGTAAAAAATGAGCGCTGGATTTTGTGAATTGTTTGGGGTTTCATCATTTCAGGGGTATTTAATCGGCATTTTTTTAGATCAATTAATATAAAAATGTAAAATTTACAATGAATGACTCTATTACTATCAAAATCATAAATAATGAACAATAAGATTTATTCGGGAGAAAGCAATGTAAGACTTTAAGTTGACAAAAAAATTATAAGATTTATTAAATTCAAGTAATATGCTGCTTTACCTAATTAATTACCTAATTAGTTAATAGGTACGGGTACGAGTTTAGTAAAAATTAGAAAAAGAAAAAGAACAAATTCCGCCGTATCAATGAACCGGTTCATTTTGGCCAAAAAAAAAAAGAAGAGAACCGGTTCATAGAAGATTCGAAGTTTTTGCTGAACCGGTCGGTGTCCACGTTAAAGCTACCGGTTTTTCAGTTTTCCTGCGCTGCCACCTGCTATCACCACCGCAGACAAAATGCCGCCGAAGAAGAACAAGCAGAAGCAGAAAGCCAACTCAGCTTCGTCGTCGAAAGCAAAGTCACAGTCCTCCTCATCCGGCCCGAGGCTGCAGATTTCGGCCGAGAACGAGAATCGCCTCCGCCGTCTCTTGCTCAACTCAGGCCGGTCCGCGCCATCTCTTCCTGCGACGGACGATGCTCTTACCAAGGCTCAAAAGGCGAAGAAGCTTAAAGCTCTTTACGAAAAGCTCTCCTGTGAAGGTTTCAGTAATGATCAGATTGAGCTTGCTCTTTCCACTCTTAAGGTATCTATGTCTGGGCATCGTTGGCTACTCGGCGAAAGAAACGTGGAGTACGAACCATTGGTCCTTCTGACTATGGGGAACCTGATTATCGAAACATTTCTGCTTAAAAAACTAATTGAAACTAGAATGGCGTGGTAGTTCATATGTGTGAAATATAGTTGTAGTGCGAGAAACCACACTCCAATTTCTTTCTCATTTTCATTCCTTTATCTTAACTTCACTCGAACACATTTTTTTGAAAGCAAGGACTTATTTGGAGGATTATAACTCAAAGTAAAAGGCTTTTTGCGTTCCATTTCCTGCACTTAGGAAAATGATAGAAGATAGGAATAGATCTGATGCGTATAATGCCAAGTCCAACTTAATCTATTTCTAGTCGCTTGGTTTCGTATGACTTTCAGCTTCCGTTTCTGAGAAACTTAAAAAAGTGGAGTTTTCCCATTTCAACCATTCCTCTTTTCTTCTTTTCTTGCTTGGGTCCCCTATGTTTTGCCGTAGTAACAAGTGTGTTATTGTTTCAATTTTATCTTTTTCATATACCTTGCCACAATATTTTCAACTATTGATCGTGCCATTTCTTTATTGATATTTCAAGTTTGTATTCTGTTTTACTGTTCTCTGCAGGAGGGTGCTACATTCGAGTCCGCGCTTGATTGGCTATGCTTGAATTTGCCCGGGAATGAGCTTCCATTGAAGTTTTCTTCTGGAACCTCGCTGCATTCTAATGAAGGTATATCTTTACTTCCCTTAACGATATTATTTCTGTAAGATTATTTTAGGTTTGTTTGTAGTAATAAATTGTTAGGTTTTTGGCATTTTGGATACTGAATTTCTTATCCTCAATGCCTTGATAGGAGGTTCTGTTGGCGTTATATTAAATCAACGGGATGATGGGATTCCTTCGGTGGATGAATCTATTACAACTAAGGAAGAAAGTCCAGAATTTTCTGTCATAGTCAAGAAACAGTGGGATGATGATACTTTAGATTCTCGCCAGCCATCTCAAGCGGATTGGATCAGGCAATATGTAGAGCAACAGGAAGAGGTAAGTTCAAACACTGGCACCAAGTACGTCTCTACAAGGGGCCTGAAAGCATCAAGCTACTTGTAAAACTGGAAATATGATTAACGAGATAACTTTTATCACAATGTTGCAGACTCTAAGGATTCTCTCCACTTCGCAATTTTCTGGTGCTTGAGTGTATTTTATGTTGTCTTTTGGCGTGAACCTAGCCATAAATGTTATTCTAGAGATTAATTTCATGTTTGTTTTAAGATCAGAAATGTGTACTTTGTCTGTCATCAGCAAACATTAGATATGAAGCTGAGAAAGAATTCCACTGACCTATAATAGTACCAGACTTCAGGTCAGACGGGGGAAATGTGCCCAAATGGGTTTTGCTAGGCCTTGGATTGGTTGGCCTTTTCTGAGATAGAAATTGCTGGTGCTTATTAGGTTTCCTCAGGAATTTGTAATTGCCTGATTAAAACATGTTTGCGATGTGCAAGATAGAGCAATCGGAGCCCATCCTTTGGTGCCTTAGTGCCAGTATTGGTCTTTTGGGTTTTGGCCTACCCTGTTAAAGAGAGAGTCAAAGAGCGAGATAGCTTAGAAACATGACTTTTGAATAAAAAAGACACGTATATAGATGCATGCTGCAGTTCTAGGTCTTGTGTCTGATTTGAATGACTTAGACGCCCTTGAGACTGTCTTGAGAACTTCATGTTTCCATATCCTATAACAATAACAATTCTTTATCTCCCAGTTTTGATCCTTTTTCATTTTCAAGCGCTAGATTGCATCATGTACGGCCTTTTGCTAAAACCTGGGGCGACTTGTATATTGTCTTCCATGAAAGGTTCAATCGTAGAAACTTTTGGCCATCTTTTTCCGGTCCCATTCTAGGCTTTTAGCCAATGACGCCACTAACCATTACCAATTGCACACTGACAAGGAGATTTATGATCGTTTTTTTTTTTGCTAAAAATGAAGACTTGAAAGCTAAAATAGTTCATAGATCCACCCCCAGGTCTTGTTAAAGAAACCAAATGGCCTATGCCAAATCTACCAAGCCACCTCATGATGTTGACAAAGATGGTTATTTATCTCTGAACTCCTCAAACACATCACTCACATATCTGGTGATAAAGCCTATTAAGCCTGCCGGCCTTATTATCCAATTTACAGTTCTCCTTTTTTCTTGATAAGTTACTAGTTTGATTTTATTATTTGCAGGACGAACATAACACTTGGGAAGATGACATTCTTGAGGAGAGAACTGCCAAGAAGGAGGTATTTTCTTTCCTGTTGGTATCTTGTATGGTTTCTTGGAGAATATTAATCGTTATTTCACTGTAGCTTATAAGTTTAAAGGTAGCATTCGGTTTTGATTTCCTTTTCATGGTTCCCCCCTCCCTGTTGAGTTTTTAACATGCTTAAAAGTACACATGTTGAATTATTCTTCTCTTGTTCTATAATTCTTCCTTTATAGAAAGGCACTTTTTTGGTTAGCTATCTTACTCATATTTGTAGTTGTTTTTATTTTACCTTTTGTGTTACTTATTTGCTGTCCATTATTTATACAATAAGAAGTTTAAAGTTTTATGTATTCTGTTCAATGAAGCATTTGGTAATTTGTTGAATTGATACAGCTTCCTAGTTTAGGTGACCTGACTGTTGGATATGGCTTTTTTTCGTTTTTTAATTTTAATTTTTTTTAACTCATTATAAGAACTTTGGATTTATTATGATGAAGGTTACTTATGTTTAGTTTTAGTGATCTCTTTTGCATTTAAGCGGGGAAAGAACTATTTGTCAGAAAGTTAACATCTTTGTTTTGCTTGGTCTTTGTTAATTATGTTGTGATAATATAACAGTTGAGTATGAGCTGTTTTCAGAAAGTTAATGCTTTTGTTCTGTCTGGTCTCTGTTAATTTAATAGTGATCGCTTAATGTTGTTCAGATAGCTTGAATGAGTCTAATTTACCCTTGTCTTTTATGATAGGCCTGTGAGCCTCGATCTTATGATGTTATTGCCAAAGAGTACCTTTCTGCAAGGTTGGAAGCCACAAAAGCCAAGGAAAATAGGGATAAGAAAAGTCAGGAGCTGGCAGGCAATATTATCCGGAAACTGAAACAAGAATTGGCTGCTTTAGGTTAAGTTTAACTTCATTTTCAATTTCAAAATTTTGTAGCCTTTAACTCATCTCATATGCTTTTACTGTACTCTGAGCAGGGTTATCAGATGAAGCTTTAGCTGCACAGCATGAGCTGGAAATAGCTTTTAGATCCACATCTGAGGAAAGATCTTCAGGTCCTGGGCCTGCTGATTGCACTAAAGAAGAAACTCCATGTGAACCAGAAGGTTATCCAACTGTTATTTTGTCATCTGATGAGATAATAGCTGACAAAAGTGATGCAAAGCAACATAATGTGAAGGAAAATCCTTCTAATTCTGATATTTCGGGTGCACAAGTTGTTAGAAAGGATTCTGCTGAAGAAGAAGCAGATGATGTTGAACTAGGTGGTTTCTTTTTGGAGGATGCCCCATCTAATGAAATGTTGCCTTCTGATATTTTGGAAATACAGAAAAAAGAAAAAATTAAAAAATTATGCGAGAAGAAGAATTTGGAGAAGTTAGATGGCATTTGGAAAATGGTAAGTTCATAGGCTACAGTCAATGGCACTGGATGAGTGATTTTTGATGATAGTCAAGCATCTGAATTACTTTTAATCATTTTACCTTGTTAGGCTTGGAAATCATACTAATGGTCTTGTGGGAAGGGGCAGTTTTGAGGAAACCATATACCTTGTTGAAACAGGAATCAATGACACGAGGGCAGTGATATTTTAATTGATGGACGTACACATTTTGTTGGGCAACTTGCATGTATTCTTTCTCTTTAATTTTTGCAAAATAATGAATGCTATTAATATCCTATTTGAATTTAGGACCCTTGCGTTCTGTCATTTGTTTTTGAGCAATATTTTCTTGGGCAACTTGTTCCTTTTTTTATCTATATACCTCTCTTTATGTCATAATCTGATAGTATTTTTCTTCTCTTATCATATTTTAATTAACCGTAGGGGGACCCTCCCAAAATTCCCAAAGCTGTTCTTCATCAACTATGTCAGAAATCAGGGTGGGAAGCTCCAAAATTCAATAAAGTTCCTGGCAGAGGAAAGAATTTCTCCTATGCTATTAGCATATTGCGCAAAGCGAGTGGGAGGGGGAAGAACCGAAAAGCTGGGGGGCTGGTCACACTTCAGCTTCCCGATGGAGATGAAACTTCTGAATCTGCCGAGGTTGGTTCTTATTCCTCTCATTTTCATGTTTCTTCTCAAGCTTTTTTGATAATCTATAAGGAATGAAAAGATTGTTGAGAATAAACGATATGCTAGGTACCTCTTATGTATTATTCTCTTTTCTTGAATAAATTTTTTTCCCCTAAAAAGATAAAATAATTTGCTTAATATTTTTTGTGGTACTTGAGTCGCACATTAAGATATTTTTGTTATGCATGCCTAAAAAGGTTAAATAGTTTGCTTCATATTTTTTCTATTCACAAATCTTAGAAGGCTTAGGGCAACAGAGATCAAGCTTAAGATCATTTGGGTGATTAATTGGGTTTAAATGCTTTGCGGATGGGTAATTCTGTAAGACTATATATCATTGAATGTGTCACCTCACCTTAGAGGAGATTAATATTTCTGAGGCCACTCCCCAGGCCCTGATGGATCCTAATTTTAGCTAGTATCAGTAATTGTGCATATTTCACATCCTAACCTTTGACTTGTTGGCCAAAAAGAAAAATCCGTACCTTTGACTGAGTGGTTTAAAGTAATATTTGCCTGTATTTGAGGGGTGCTTTCTTTTTGCATAAGTGGAAAAAATAATTAATTGATTTTCCTGTTACCTCTCTTTGTGGACTGTTTCTGAAGAATTCTCTAGCTCTTAGAACTTCTTTGCAAGGTTCTATTTGCACCCAATTTATTCATGTTATTATTTCCCTATTATGTGGAACAATTCTTATTTTCTCTCCATTTATGCACTTGTTAGCTTTATTTGATTGTAGGACGCACAGAATAAAGTGGCAGCATATGCGTTGTTCCAGCTGTTTCCTGATATCCCTGTTCACCTCCCAATTACAGAGCCGTATGCTTCACTTGTCATGCAGTGGTTGAAAGGTTGTTTTCCTTGGTTATCGTTTTCATCTTTTGATTGAATCTTAGTCATAAAATTTGCATCAATAAACTTCAAGGAGATGAATTCGGAACGACAATAAAATTTTTACTTCTATCATTTTTTTTCCTGAGGATGTCTATGTAAATCTTTTAAACCATTTTTATTACGATGTTGTTTGTTTTTATGGTAGATATAGTGCCATTTTGTTCAAAGTTGATTCTTACTGCAATAATTTAAAACTTTCAGGAGACTCATCATCAAGGATTGAAGAAAGGGAGGAAGATCGTCGGTCTGGTTTCGTTGATTCACTTTTGAATGTGGATGGTTATAGTGAGACTGCATCTGTTGATGATATATATCATAAGGGTCCAGAAAATTTTGATATACTTGTCAAAAATAAAAACACAATTCCTGCCAGTGTTGAAGCAAAAGCTCAGAGTAAGTTTCCACTTTTTATTCAGAGTGCTTTCAATTCAATATTCAATAATTTTTCAAAAGGAAGGAAGCACATTTTGGATTTAAATATGGGCGCTAGTTGTGTAGCATTGTTCCATTTTGAGACATTCTGGGTTCCTCCAAGTAGCCTATTTATTTCTGCATCAGTAGTAAGGGGGACAAATCAAAATTCACACATTTTTGTAAATGGTGAAAGCCAGTGCTCAGATGATAATGCCAATCTTTTTGTAGATGGTCACCTTAAATCAAAGATAGGAGTTAGTTGGAGTCACCTGGAGTTCCTTGGGAGCTTCCTCCCCGTTAAAGGTCTCTCATACATTTGTTGCCAAATTTTTTGCAGTAGACTATGCATGACCATCATCTAAACTTTGTTTAAACCAATGCTATGGCAGGCTTATCCCAACAGACTACTGATACCGAAAAAGACTGTGTGCTAACTTAGTAGTTCTTTCTCCTTTGAATGAAGCAAAACTGACCAAATCATGTCAAAATCCCTTATGTTCTCAAATTTGTTGGGTTAAAAACTCTATCTGCAAAGGCATCTGTATTTTTTTTCCTGTGTTTTGGCCAATAAGGCCACCTTTGATAGCACTCTGAACCAAACAACTTGATAGTATTGTACACTGCCTAGCCCCTTGACCAAGCTGTTCCCCGGAACAATTTAAACTCTACCTACTCCTATCTTCCTGAGGAATTAAAATTTGGTGACAATTTGTATAGAGCTTCTGAATAACTCTCTCGTGGGATCCACATCCATGAAAAGAAGGGCCTTTGCAAACTCACTATTCATGTTAGCACATAGTGGGTGGCAATTCAATGACGATATAGCTGATAAAAAGCTCAAATGATGAAGTTTGTGGGATATAACTTATGTATTGCACTGATGGGTAACAAAATATACCTCTCCCCTCTTGTTATCACAACTTTAGCATTGCTTTATGCAGGAAAAACCTATGGTGTGGACAAGCAGAGTTCTGATTTGAGGCGGGCACAATATGATAAAATGAGAACCCAGAGATACCAGGTCTGCATATATCCTATCTTAGTGTTTTTTTTTTTTTAATGGTTGTCTCTATGCCAAAAAAATAGTCATTTGGGTTTGTGATTGTTATTTTATAGTTTATGAAGTGTATTTTCTTCCATTGAACATGAACTTTTATATGAATGTTTAGAGTAATGACTCTGCTTTCATCACCTCACACGAATTCTTTTCATGGTTTCATGTTTTTGTCATGCATACTCAAATTATGCTTTTTTCTTCTGGAATATTTATTAAGAGAAATTTTTTTCTCTAGAGTGTTTGTTGCATTAAAATAACTAGAAATAAGTGCAGTTTTCTCCAGAATTTGAAACTACTTGCATAGGGTATAAAACTTCTTTGTTGGAGTGTATATGCCCTCTTATTATTTTTAGGCTGTCTTAAAGCAAAATGCTATTGATATTCGAATGTCAGTTGTTTCCTTAGTTAAGACTCAATGTAAGTTCCTGAAAAGAGAATGCACGATATAGGGCACAACACAACATAGACAAGATGACATCACTTCAGATCATATGGCCACAACTTGATATTGACATGCTTGTTAAAATGTTTTACAAATACAAGAATGTGTACGTGCAAACATTGAATTATGAATAAGCTTATTAACACTATCAATATGGTTTATATGGAGCGTGCTGATGAAGAGCAATGATAGTGAAATTTACCTTTTTAATTCAGCAATGCTGTAGTTAGGTGTTATGAGGGTCATGCTGGGTGTTTATGTCTGCTATGATTTGCACAGGGTTCTGGCTCTGTTATTGGTATGTTCATGCTTTGCATATGAGAAAATGGTTTTACCATGGTTAACGTGGGAAGAATTTTCATCATGCCATGACGTTATAACAGTTATTAACAGAGCTAGATGATAACAATTTTTGGTCCATTGATATCATTTAGTTTGCTGCTTTGACTTCGCTGACTTCATATTCTGGAAAGTTCTGTCAGGAAGGTTGGAATATGTGGATTTGATTTATGACCATTGCTTCCCTTTTGCTTTCGAATTCCAAAATTTTTAATATAATTGACTGTTTCTTCTTTGACATTTTTTTTTAAAACTTCTTTGCTACTGGTCACATTTTCACATATTTTCTGCTCCAGGACATGTTGAAAAGTAGAGGTGCACTTCCTATTGCTGCGCTAAAGGGTGACATAATACAATTGCTGAAGGAAAATGATGTCCTTGTTGTTTGTGGAGAAACGGGCTCTGGAAAGACAACTCAGGTGATAATCCAATTTTCATTTGTGTCAAGTCTTCTTGCTTTCCTGACATAACATTTTTCTTTCTTTTCAAATTTCTTTAACCTGATTGGTATTTATGTAGGTTCCACAATTTTTATTGGATGACATGATTGAATCGGGATGTGGTGGATACTGTAATATTGTCTGCACACAGCCAAGAAGAATTGCGGTGGGTAAAAAGGCTTTTTCTTGCCATTTGATAGATGTCATATTTATTGCAGTTGTTCAGCGGTATATTGGATGGCTTTTTCCTAGAAGGCCACCACATTGCAAGTCTCTTTATCTTCCTTCTATAATATATATTTGATGAGCTAGCTGTTTGCAGTTTTGAAATGTGGGATTTTTTTTTTTTGGGGGGGGGATCATAAGAGAAAATATGTGAATCATTGACATAATCCCCTAATTCATGTCTATTTGACAAGGAATTATCTCTTTTAATTCATGAAGTAAGCCTGGGAAGATATATCTTGAAGAAACAACTTTGTGATTAAAATGCTATGCGGAGGTTAAAATCTGTGTTTAATTTGCAGAAGGGACGTTTCCCATGCTGGATTCTCAATTTTTCTTTTTTGCTTTTCCAAAGACTGAAGAGCATCCATTACATCTCTGCATTTTTTGATTGTTGTCTGTAACTTCAGCGATTAGATTTTTGTTCAGTTCATGCTATGTCATGATATTTAGGATTGTGTGATGTTATTTTAACATTTCATCCGGATGCTGACAAGAGTTTCCAAAAATTTCATTTCATTTCATTTCATATGTCAAAACAATTTTATACTTTTGCTGTTGAGAAATACAAATGATTTGTATTTTGTGCGTTATGTTTCAGGCTATTTCTGTTGCTGAAAGGGTTTCGGCTGAGAGGTGTGAACCATCACCAGGTTCACATGGTTCCTTGGTTGGTTATCAAGTCCGTCTGGACAGTGCCAGGTGTTTATTTGTGTATTTATTTGAATTTAAGATTTGCAGTATTGAACTGACAGAGCACGAGGCGGTTTTCTGAATTGAATTCTTCTATTAAGCTGGTTGATCTCTTTTCAAGTAGTGAATTCAGACTCAGATTTTTGGCATGATGTATCAGCTTTAATTATTTTGCTCAGAGAGCATTTATACTTGTTATGCAATGGGGAGAAATTGTGTTGATGGATCTGGGGAAGATTAATGAAATGGATTAGAATCCAATATCCAGTAAAGTGTTCCTTTAATGGAGATTTATTCTGGAAAAAAGTATTTTGAAAAGGGATTCTAATTATATTATTGTATATTTTCATTTATTTATGTTGATAATTTCCTTGTAGTCTGTTCTTTCATTGTAAATATTAACTGATCATTTTCATGTTAGGAATGAAAAAACAAAGCTTCTGTTTTGTACAACGGGCATCCTTCTGAGAAGATTGATGGTATTTCATTCTAGTGAATCATGGATATTTTTTGAGTCTGTTATTCAACCTGGTGCACACATCCTGATCTCAAATGAGAAAGATATTTCTGCTGTGCAACATTAATAGAAAATACTGGCATTTTTTTATATTGTAATATTTGGTTTTTCTCCTAATGATAACGACATGAATTATAAAATATCAAGTTCTTTAGATGCAATCTTTTTATTCCCCATTCATTTCTAGTTTTGGCATACGTTCTAACATGTATTTCACTCAGCAAAAGCATGTCGGAACCCTCAAATTATAGGAACATTCTTTATTTCTTTTTCCTCTAATTTGGGGTTAAATTTCTATCATTATTCAACGAAAATACTGGTTCCCTAACATTGTTTTTGTCATTCTTAAATTTCAGGGGGATAACAGCTTGACTGGCATCACTCATGTCATAGTTGACGAAGTGCATGAGAGGTCTCTGTTGGTGAGTTGTAATTAAATTATAGTATAATGGTTTGCAAGTATAAAACATTATGTGTTGATCTTATGCTGAAAAAAATAAGCGATGGTTGATTAATACTTGAGGTTGTTTGTATTATTCTACCGGACATATAGTTGTCTATATGATAACACTGAATTTCATGCACAAGAGTTTAGGTTACCTTTAGATGATTAATTAATAAGGCATATATTTATTTAGTTTATGGGTTCTTGCTGATTCTGATGATGACACATTAACTATCTTTTTCATTGATTAATTTACTATAGGAAGAAGAAATTTAACCCTCTTTAATAGGGATGCCAGTGCTCTAGCTAGTAATATGTTGGTTCATCTCTTGATCAAACTTTAATATGTTTTCTTCCTCAGGGGTGATTTCGTTTTAGCCATTATTATATGGACATGCTGAGTTTTTTATGAGTTTAAAGAAATTGGAGAATGATCTCTGAGAGTCCTAGAAGCTGTATTGGAGGGACTGAAATACTAATGCCTCTAATAAGGCCTGTGAAGGATATGTAAAATTATGTTCCTTAATATTTGCCTTGGTTTGGAATTCTACAATCCGTAATGCTTAGAAATAAGCATTGGGTAATGCTCAAATCATTACTGGTTCTAATTCGTTGTTTCAGAGAATTTCAAGACTTTGGAAATGTTAGGCATTATTATGTTGTGAAAATTACTTTCTTTGGCTTGAGTGTGAGTTATAAAATTTCTAATCGTTTGGAATTTTGTGGAAGATTAGAGGTTGTGTCTGCTTTTGAATTTTTCTTTCTGTGGTGACTTTTGTCTATTCTATGAATTGCAAGATGTTGGGTACCCATAAAAATGGTAAATATAGATTTATTGAGCTTTTTACTTTTGACTATGGCCTTTGCCTGATGCTTAATGCGGGCATGTGTGTTGCCTCTAGGGTCTATTTTCCTTTCAAATAAGGAAGCTGTTTATGTGGATCATTATGATTAATAAACTAATATAGTGAGGAACTAATGGTGTTAATTAACAGAATCTGTAATTAAATAAAAGATTATAACCTGGAGGATTTTTACATAGTTGATATCATATTTGTTATTTACCGTTTAATAATTTAATTGGACAGGGTGATTTTCTTCTTATTGTTTTAAAAAATCTGATTGAGAAGCAGTCCACTGACAGCTCCACAAGACTGAAGGTCATTCTAATGTATGTATCCGAGTAATTTAATTCTATTGTTGTTGAAATATTAGTGTAACATACATATTTTAATTTATTGATATTTTCTTCTGCTGTGATTTGTATTGATTTTAACGATCAGGTCTGCAACAGTTGATTCAAGTTTATTTTCAAAATACTTCGGTAATTGCCCCGTAGTCACTGCAGAAGGCAGAACTCATCCTGTGACAACTTCCTTTCTTGAAGATATATATGATCAGATCAATTATCGGCTTGCTTCTGATTCTCCAGCTTCTTTAGCATATGAAGCCTATCCCAAAGAGAAGGTAATATTGAATTGTGTCGTAGGTTATTGTTATTGTTCTCTGATTTTGAGATTTATTCAAAATTAAGTTGAAGTTTGATTTCCATATTTACTATCCCTGTGGTTGTTGGCATTACTGTGGTCTAAATTTGCACTGTTGTATTGCGTTTGAAAATATAGTGGAATTTGAGAGAAAGAAGAATGACAACTTTTCACATTAAATACTTGAATTTGGATATTTTCTGATCACCCTTTCCTGAAATAATGATTTGTTGCAATCTTGAAGTTCCAGAGAGGTCCTGTGACAAATAGCAGGGGGAAGAAGAATTTAGTCTTATCTGCATGGGGTGATGATTCTCTGCTTTCTGAACAACAAATTAATCCGTGTTTTATTTCATCTAATTATGAATCATACAGTGAACAAACCCAACAGAATTTGGTAAGTCCCTTGCAAGATGTGAATATTCACTCTGCCTTGTGTTGTGGCTGTAACTTAACCATTTAAAGTCTTTTTCTTCAGAAAAGATTGAACGAAGATGTCATTGATTATGACCTTCTTGAAGATCTGATATGCTACATTGATGAAACTTGTGATGAGGGTGCCATACTTGTATTTTTGCCTGTAAGAGCATTCTGGTATCCTTTGAGCTGGTATAATTACCTGCATAATTTTCTCAGTGCAATGACTTGTACCTTTTCCATTATAATTTAATCTACCAGGGAGTGTCTGAAATAAACCTGTTACACGACAAGTTGGCAGCTTCATACCGGTTTGGGGGGCAGTCCTCTGATTGGGTTATTCCTCTACATTCGCTGGTTTCACCAACTGAACAGAAAAGGGTATTTTTACGACCTCCAGGAAATATACGCAAAGTAAGTTTGATCCTGCTATTTTTATTCTTGCATGGTGCATTAAGTCACTAATCTAATCCTTTGACTACTAAAACAGAACTACATTCTGTCCTTAATATAAGAGCTAGTTGACTAAGTTGAATAGGTTAAGGAAATTAGTTAAGTTTAGTTAGTTGTAATAAATATGTATTGTCTTTCCTAAAATATCTTTACTAATTAAATGTATTAGCTAGAACTACTATTATTGTAAGGACTACTTTAGAAAAAAATGGATAAATATGAGAGACAAAGTGGATTTGGGTCTTATATTTAGGACCAGAATAAAATTCAAATGAACTCTTATATTAAGGACCAGAAGTAGTAGTAATTTCCCTTTTTGGAGTAAAAGGACATTTTCAGCTGGGCTGAGTTTATGCTATGTTGATACTATTACAATGATAATTTATTTTAGAAACTTATATTTTTCTACTGAGCATGGGAATCTGACGTTTATGTATCTAATTTTTTCTCTTATGCTTGGGTCTGATTCTATCCCTATTTCATTTGGTCCCACTTGAAGTGAACCCTAAATAGTAGGAAGCGGGATGAGTTATGGGGTGTTATCATATGTTTTGCTTTATCATCTAATTATTTATTTTTACCAAAAATAGAAAACTTACAATCTCTCTTCGCCTAGGTTGTTATAGCCACAAATATTGCAGAGACTAGCATAACGATAGATGACGTGATATATGTAATAGATTGCGGAAAGCATAAGGAGAATCGGTACAATCCGCAGAAGGTATGTATTCTTCCTCAAATTTGAATGAATTATTGAAGCATAAGGAGAACTACTATTTGTCCGCATCTTGCTATCTACTATTGGCAAAATTGTCTTTAAGAGCTTATATTTGTTTCTACATATAAGAGATAGAATTGTGTATATGGCTTTTGACAGAGCCCAAGCAAAATACTAGATATCCAACACTGTTTTTTTTTTTTTTTAAACCATCAAAATATTCTTCTTCTCGATGGAAAGAAAGTTACAATGCATGAAAACTCACGCAGAGGATACAAAAGGAAATTGCTCTCAGTACGTTCAAACTCACTAACACACTTGTTGGCGGAACATTTCAAATAACATTCCAGCGTTTATTTTCTTTTATTTGTCAGATTTATTCTCTTGTAGCCATTTTTTTCTTTGTAAATCTTTCCGTTTAATAGCCTTATTTTTTGGGATTGAACAGTGAGAATGTCACTATCTTTTCCTATAATTCGATGTGTTGTTTCCCCTGTAAATACGATGCATGATATTCTTCCTAAGGTGTCCAACGCTAAAATACACTAAAATAAAAAGAGAAAATGATGAAGAAAGATGATCTTCCTCCAACCCCAACCTATCATTCGAGAGGCTAGAATCAGAACTCTCCTCTCCGCTCTCAATACCCAAAAGACAGCACTTGCTTCTCTCTGGACAAAATGGAGGATTTGAAGACCCCAAAAGTTACAAAAGACTGAACATACCCCCAGGCAAACTCTAACACATCACTAGGCCATCGATTACTTCTCCTTACAGCAGGGATCCGAACCAACAGCAATGTTAGCTTTCTAAGCTATTACCTTCCTTGATATCCTTCTTTAAGTCTTGGTGAAATCTTGAGCTCTATCAGCTTTTCATTTGGTACTCTGTGCGCTGAGTCTTTTTCCCCTAGGGGAATCACTTTCTGATGTGCAAAGACATTGGACAGATCTTTTGTACTGCTGAGTTTTGGAGGGCTTTTGTCAAATTCATTTTTCTTTTCATATGTCTCTCTTTTGTACCTGATTAGGAAGATGTCTTATATTTTGCCTTTCTTGTAGTCTGTTAACGTTCTCCCTAATTTTATTTCTTTGCAAAAAGATTAACAATTACTGTGCTTCTGGGGCTCTTTCTGTGGCTTATTTGACTGTCTATTACTCAATGGTATGAATTTAAGATGAGTTGCAGCATAGGAGACAATCGATACCACTAATGAATGCAGTAGTAATTTAAAAGAAGGGGGAAAAACACAGAAAAGGTTTTCTGATCATGCGTTGTCTAGATCCACTCATAATTTTATGAGTTGTTTATGTTGCACATTGTTTTGGGTGAAAAGAATATAATTTGTTTCTGCTCTCCCTTTTTGTAATTGGTTCTTGGGTTTGATTGTATCATTTTTCTGATCGATTTAGAAATTGTCAAGCATGGTTGAAGATTGGATATCTCAAGCAAATGCAAGGCAACGCCGGGGTAGAGCTGGACGTGTAAGACCTGGAATTTGCTTTTGTCTGTACACTCGTCACAGATTCGAAAGGCTTATGCGTTCTTATCAGGTATTCTTTTGGAAAAGAAATCCCTTGGATACCTAAGTTTGTGTGTATGATCTTCATTGTCTGAATATTTTTTATGTCATTATTTTCCTCCTGTTAAGGTACCGGAGATGCTTCGGATGCCATTAGTGGAATTGTGTTTACAGGTCAAATTATTGTCTCTTGGCTATATCAAGCCATGTTTGTCAAAGGTAGACAACCATATTTTTTAAAATTTAAGATGTTCTCATCCATCATCAGATTTTCATGTAATTTTGTTAAACATTTTTTTTGCATTATCAGGCTTTAGAACCTCCTAAGGTTGAAGCAGTAAATTCAGCTATATCTCTGTTGTATGAGGTACTCTCTACTCTCATGTTATGGGTTGCTTTCGATTTTATTGAACCATACGTTTAACTTTATTTAATTGTTAGAAACTATAGGCCTGTTCTAATCCCCACTTGATAAATGCTGCTGATTGTTAAGTGGGAATGTAATTTGAAAGCCATGCAGTTGTGATCTAGGACCCACTAGGTGATCTGTCGTAGCACCCTCAACAATAAGGACATGATCTAGAACTGGCTAGAAACAAGAAACAATGACCAAATATAGGACCCCAAGAGAACTTGTCTCTTGTAACCCTAGCTTCAAGACTGCACAAAGAGAAGTCACCTCCTTGATAAGTCAATGTATTCCAAAGAGCACATGGGTGCAAGCCAATGCTCATAAGTAGAGAGAATTCTCAAAATTTTATTTCTTAGGATCTCCTAAACATTACGTGGTAGTAGGCCTATAAATAGGCAAAGGTAGAATAATCTAGAATTCCTAACTTTAATTACTTAATCCTAAGAAGTCAAAGAATGATGCCATTATTACATAAGATAAAAGGAAATAACTTAAACTTCCCGACAAAGCATCCTACACTCAAAATAGGAAAGTAAACTTGATCTTCAACAAAAAGTCATTGATCAAATAGGCCTTATTCAAAGAAGCAAAATAATAAATAAAATCTACTCCTGATTAATGACTAAATATGACACCATTTTCGACTATTCATGAAGCTACGTAACTCTGACCCTTCAACATGCCAATTTTCATTCCCTGGGCCTCAAGTTTCTTCAATAGATCTTGAATTTGGGCTTCCTACCTTGGAATGGATCTATGAAACAATTAGCTCCTTGTGTTGGGCCACTTGGACATCACATTGGGATCTATCATGAACATCATGTTCACAACCTCATGCATTTGGACTTGAATGAGGAAGACTAAGGCCCCATTTGTTTCTTCCATTTGCATGTAAGTGCCTTGGGCCTTTAATGCATTGAACTACACTCCAATTAGCCTCTTTTAAGCTCTCTAATCTCCTACTTGCTATTGGGCTCTCCGATGCTAAGTCCTTCACTTGAGTTGGGTCGTGTTAAGTCCTCCACTGGCCTTCTGGGTTTCATATGGAGCTGGAAAATTTTCTTAATTATGATTGTAATTGTTGGAGACATGTTAAAATTGTTGTTGGGGCTTCTTCTAACAACTTAGGGTTCTGGGAATATTGCTACTTGGCAAAATGTTATTAAGAATACAATTTACAGTTTTATATGTGAAGAGGAATGGCTTCAATTTGCATGACCATATTTTTGTTCCTTACAGTTTGGGACAGAATTGTTGATGTGGTGGTTGTCCTGTCATCTGTCTTTGTTGGTTTTTCTCTGGAGAGCTTTCTTGTACAAGTACCTTTTATTTCTTGTGAAATTTTGTTGGGGTCTAGAGGTCTTGGTAGTTCTAGGTGAACACTGGGTTTGTCATAACACTGGAGCAACTCCTCATGATATGCTTTAAAGGTCTTGGTAAGAATTAGGTAACTAACCCAACGGGGTAGAATTCGCACCAATGTGCAGTTCTTACAATCATGTTTATTTGGCGAGAGATGATCAAATGGTCAATGGTGCCTCTGTCATTCACATGTTATGAAATTGGTTTGTGCTTATGGCCTCACTTTGGTGTGGGGCCCATGTGTTTCAGGGAACCCCCTATAACTGATATGAACGTAATTGATCACCTTCATTATAAATGTTTTTAGTCTTTTTGGCTTCATTTCTTTTGTTTTTTTTTTCTTGTTTGTTTTGTGCTCAAGAATATCTTGGCCTACCCCTAGTTTTTTTCTCTTTTTTCCTCTGATAATATTTCTTCCATCTAAATATCTTCAGTATTCTTTTCTGTAATTGGAATCAAAATCTTGTAGGTTGGCGCTCTTGAAGGAGATGAAGAGTTGACGCCTCTTGGGCATCACTTGGCAAAACTTCCCGTTGATGTATTAATTGGAAAGGTATGCTGTAAATCATTTGGCTGAATCTTCTATTTTCACTGTTGAAGTCGTTAGTTTTCAGGTTTTTTTTTTTTTTTTGTGGCTTTCTATCTTGCGCTTGTTTCATAATGTTTATCTTTTTCTGGAATTGGTTTTTCCCTAAATGTGGGAACCAAACCTATGCTTATTCATTTTTCCATTAGATGTTAACCATATATATTCACTTGTGTTTTTTCTCAAGTTTTTTCAGCAGCCAACTAGGTCTTTGTCACCTTCATCGAGTTTTCAAGTCTTAACTACATGAGTACTGTGGCGTTTCTGTTTCTTTAATATAGTCTGAATTGATATCGGTGGGGCATATGGTACCCTATTGTCTTCATCTAGGCAATAAGTATCCTAGCTGCTCCATCTAAGAACGAGTTACTCTTGGATCCTCTAAGTGGCTTTCTTGTTTTGAAAACTGAATGTCTCTGCATTAATAGAATTGCTACACATCAGCTTAGCTGATTCCTTTGATATTTTTCAATTGCACATCTTTCTTTTTTCCCTGAAAATCATCTTACGTTGTTGAATTTTCTTACATTTACAAAATCTTCATTACCAACTTGATGATTTAATGACCTTCAATTTCAAGTGATTCATGCTTTTGAAATTTTTTTCATTCAATCTTTTGTCATATTTCTTGTAGTTTGGGTTTGTTGCTTATTTATTTTTTGAAGTTATGACTAAGTAGTCCGGTCAAAATGAGGTGTTGTACTCAGCCTTGTGCTTCCTTCTGTAAATAAATGCTAGCAACATAGACCCCCCCCCCCCCCCAAAAAAAAAGAGATGTTTTGTATTGCTTTAGAATAGGGCGTGGTTTACCGAGTAGTGGGCTATTCACGTAATGATCCATTGTTTTTGTAAATGCAGATGATGCTGTATGGTGCAATATTTGGTTGCTTGTCACCAATTCTTTCAATTTCAGCATTTTTAAGCTACAAATCTCCATTCATATATCCAAAGGATGAGGTATTCTGGATCTCTAATTTTACACTTCACTTTGATAAATGGCTTGACTTTGTGCTAAATCCTATGTTGATCTTCAGAAGCAAAATGTTGAAAGAGCGAAGTTAATGTTGTTGAATGAGAAACTAGATGGGCCAGGTGACTCAAATGATGTTGACCGGCAATCTGATCACTTACTAATGATGACAGCGTATAAAAGATGGGAGAGGATTTTTACTGAGGTCAGGCTGTAATTGGATTTTTTTTTTTTATTTAAACCTGCTTTGGAAAAAAATCATTATATTGTTAACTTGGATTATAATCTTGTCATCACACATATTATGTTTTGCTCGTTTGTTTACATCAGTTATATACCCGTATTTGCGTCTAATAGCAACTCCAGCTACAGACACTAAACTACAATAAACATAGATGACAAAAATGATGCCAAGAGTGAAGATATGACCAATAGAGGACAGTAATAAGATGGGGAGGGCAAGAGGATCACATATCCTTTACTACACAGACAGCACGCACACAATAAAACACAATACCCTTCAAAACACGACTGAGAACAGGTTTGCCAAACTTTCAAGAGGTTGGCTCTTTCCACCAAGACATGACTGAAACTTTTCCTCTCCCTTCATCCTTTTCATCTCTTCTCTTTGTACATTCCACATACCTTTTTTCTTTTTACTGCTCCCTCCGACCCTTCATCATTGCTCCCCTCTTTTTCTCCTCTAATTTCTGGCTTATCTGATTTTTGATCTCTATGCTTTCCTCTGGACTTGTAGACATAGTCCCCCATTTTTTGCTCCTTGGCCGCTCCCCTATCTCTCCTTTTGTGTTTTTGTGGCAGCAGCAGGTTGGGTATCACATCCTTGCTCATTAACACCAGACTTGCCTGGTAGATGCGCTAAAACGTGTAAAAATCCATATGCGTGCTTCTATAGAATTTAGCTCCCCCCCCCCCCCTATTTTACAGTTTTTTTTTTTTTTAAATTGAGAACTTGGTCCTAATCAACATTGTGACTTGCAATTCTTGTAGAAAGGAGTTAAGGCCGCCCAACAATTCTGCAATTCATATTTTTTGAGCAGCTCTGTGATGTATACGATAAGGTGCTCTTTCTTTTTGTTAGCATATTATATAACAAGCTAAAGGGCTTTTTCTTCAGCTGTCTTGTGGTTTTCTATATTCATTATGATAGGGCAGTGGCTTTTTTGAATCTGTGGTGTATTTTTTTCCCCCTCTCTTGCGATTATCTTGTCTATATCCAAAAGGGCAGTACGACTCCATAAACTACATCTCCTGTGTGTGAGTGAGAAGGCTATTAATATGATTATTTTTTAGCAATATATCATTTTCAAAGTACCTCCATTGCAATGACCCAAAGTGAAGGGTGTTAGTGTTTTTGTGTGATTATGGTGTTTTGAAGCCTACTGACATTGATTCTTTCAGTAGTAGCATGTGTTGATTAGCCCATACCTATTGATCACGCATATGCATATGCTTCTAGCACGCCATAAAAATGGAATCTGCATCACTATTTCTTACTATCGTATTGCTATATTAATTTAGATCTGAGAAGGAACTAATATGCATGTGTAAAAATTCAAAAATATGCTAATTCCATATTTGTTTGTGAACCATCTTTGTTTAAAACCGGTGCATGTGCTTGTATGTTAGGGAGATGAGGATACAGTTTGGAACTTTGCTGGCAGACATTGGGCTCATCAATCTTCCTAAAAATTATAAGGTGGTCCTGCTTTCTCTAACTAGACATAGGACTACTATTGACTGTCGAGTTCATTTTGTTTAAGATCTTAACATGAAGTCACACTGAAGATTTGAATGGTTAGATTTGTAAGCTTGATTGATATCAGTTCATGCGATAAACATGCAATTTCAGCACCTTACAAACTGAAAACTTGTGCATAGCAAATGGCTTTTCTTCCTTTCTATTTTTCCAGCAGTTACCAGCTTTAAGTTTCTTGTCTCCCATGATTATTAATTGCGGGGTGACTTAAGAAGTTAAAATCACATGAGAAACTTCTCTATCTGCAACTTGCCTCTAATCTATAATCTGATCTGCTCCAGATGGATGGAAAGAAGAAAGGGAATCTTGACAACTACCTTTCTGATGCGTCACAACCATTTAATATATACGCAAATCATTCATCAGTTGTGAAGGTAAGGCTGGCAGAGATTTTGATTAAGATAATTAGGCAGTAACTATCTTTTGTTCATAGTTGTTTCTAGCTAATGCTCTATTACATTTGCTTTCTCTTCATTTTCCTATATCTGGTCCACTATGATTGTTTATTCACTTTATTTAGAAGGCACCTGGTTTCTATTCTGCTGAAGTCATGCTGAATTCATTCCTTCATTTTATCAAGATGCGGTTTGCTTGATGATCTCATTCGCTATGTTGGAACTATGGCTTACAAATAATATTTTTTGCAGCATATCATTTGAAATAGTATTCTATATGTTATTTTGTTATTTGAAGGTTTCTGAGGTTACTCTTGCAGGCAATTCTATGTGCTGGCTTATACCCCAATGTAGCAGCTAGTGAACAAGGCATTGTTGCATCTGTTCTGAGCAGCCTTAGGCAGTCTTCTAGCTCAGCAAGCATCAATCGCGCAGTCTGGTATGATGGAAGAAGAGAAGTTCACATCCACCCTTCTTCTATCAACAGCAGCTCAAAAGCATTCCAGTACCCTTTCCTTGTCTTCCTTGAAAAGGTTTGTGAACAATCCTCCTGTTGAAGTAGTTGTACGATTTGAAAGATTGAAGGACAGAAGGAAAAATAGGGCTTCTGGATATTATTAATCCTTGAATCAATAAAAGTTCAAATAAGCCTTTAAATAGACAAACCATAAGCTAACAGGATAAACCTAACTCCTATCCAATCCTAATATCTCAATTTTATTCTTCTGAGATAAAATATGATAAGATATTAATATAGGATATAATTTCCATATCTAGTCCTAGGATATAATAAATAGTAATACCAATAGCATTAGTAAATGATAAATATGAAAACCTAATAATAACTAATTAACCCTAAATTAGCCCATCTCAACATATATCAAGCCACCCCTCTTAGCATAAATACTTCCTGTCCTAAAAGTTTGGAACAAGATGACCACAATGCTCTGGAGTTTCCATTTCTTATCATATCAAGCTTAACATTGTGCAAGAGGGCATCCAAATTCCGTTGATTTCTTTGACACAACATGTACTCATCATTTTATTTTGTTTTGACATAATTCTAATTTTAGTATTTAAAGTGTTCTGGGTATATAATAATACTTCCATGGAGTTATCATTCACATGATTATACATGTTATTGTAAAATTCATTTCTGCAATTCAATTTGTTTGAGATTTCAGTCTAACAAATGAAATTGCCAGGTTGAAACGAACAGAGTATTTCTGCGAGACACTTCAATCATTTCTCCTTACTCTATTTTGCTCTTTGGGGGCTCAATTAATGTTCAGCATCAGGTACGCTTTCTGATACTTCAGATTTTTTGGCAGCTGAGGAAGGGGTGCTATAATACCTAGTCTTAAAAGATTATGGCCAGGTTATTTATGACTTGTGAGGGACCGGGAGAGTCTTTAGACATATTGAGGAGATCTCCATTGGACTTTGTTTATTGGATTTGCAAGTGATACCACCTCTTGACTCAAAACCTTGTGGAATTAGGCCTAAAAGTCATTTCTGTTGGTATATTGAAATGTTGTTGATTTAGTGTACAAGTCTGGATAGTTGGGATTTATTCTTATTTGTCATTAATAAGTCTGGATTTCTGAAACTAAGACGTATTGCTTGACAGCCTTTTGCAACTTACATCAGTTAGGAAGGAGAATTTTGAGGAATAGATTGAAGTGTTTTAAGAGAAGTCTCTTCCTTAGATTGATTAATGATTCTCGTTTCAGAATTTGAAAGTGATCTTCCTTTAAATCTTGCATCTTGTAGACTGGACTGGTCATCATCGATGGATGGTTGAGATTAACTGCTCCTGCCCAAATAGCTGTCTTGTTTAAGGAGCTACGTTTGACTCTACATTCCATTCTGAAAGAGCTCATTAGAAAACCAGAGGTGCCATTTGTTGCTTCTATTCCACAGCAAATCCTGATGCTTTTGGTTGTTTCACCTTGAACGTCTTTTCATTTCTAGATATGCATCTTACTATTTTAAGATACTTGGTATTAATATGACGTGAGGACTCAACATCTATTTGACACGTGTATCATATTTGGTGGTTATAATGAATCCAAGTCTACAACAATAATCATGCTTACCTTGCATTCAAATCATCACTAAAATTGTTGCGACTGAATTATTTCTTTGTAGATTCCATTATGGAATTGCGCACCTACGCTTTAGTTGAAAGTTTTCTTCCTTTTTGATCTTTACATTGAAGAAAATTTTCCTGAAAGGTTATAAATGTCCACACGTTTTCATGATGTCTGTCAAATCCAATATGCGAACAGATTCTGTGACTGCGAGAATAAGTCACAAAAATGACGTCTGATTTTGTAGTTATGCTAAAATATGCGATCACTATTGCTAATGCTGAGGTTGTCTTCTGCTTTCAGATTGAGATTGTTCTGAATAATGAGATCATCAAGTCTATCATCAATCTTCTGTTAGAAGAAGGTGGCGTCCCTAAATAATTTTGCATCACCTCGGGAGCAAAGTGATTTCTCAAATTTTAATTTTTCACCTCACATAGGATGAAGAAAGGGCCGATCCTTCATATTATAATCTATTGGTGATTCTGTTCGTGTAAAGGAGACATTCTTTCTTCTCCCTGGGAAGTCTGTCCGTCTTCACTTGAGAGGTTAGGTACATCCTGTAGTTGAAACAGATCCTCTGAAATGGCTTAACTAGAGAGAGGAGGCAGGGAGATGGATACTCTTAATGGGGGAATCCACAAGCCAAAGGTAGGCCCCACCTCTTCTCTTTACTCTCCAAACTTGAAAGTAATTTGAACTTCAAAGGTCTAGTTCTTGGCCGCACACATCTATTTCCTAACAGGGTGATCATGCTCTTGGCCCGGAGATCAGGTGGCTCTGCTGTGTGGGGGGAATATTATCTTCGCCTCTGATTTACAATAGCAGTGATATATTTATGTAAATTATAGAAGCTGTTCTTACATCTAAGTGTATGGCCATTGTACTGTTTCTCTTATTCTTACCGGGAGGGAGAGAAGAAAGCAGCCTGTTTTTTAGTCGCTGCAAAGCTGAAGATGCGATGTATAAATTATAAAACAAATTTATCTAATATATTAAAATGGCAATCGCCCTTTAGCCCTTTTTTTTTTTGGTGTGAAAATTTTTTATAAATTGCCAAAAGAGCTCAGATTTATGCGATATGTTTAAATAAAAACTACCAGCAATGCATGGCGTGCGAAAATCCCCCCCCCCCAAAGAAAAAAGAAAAATTTCCTTTGTCATAATTTTTTTTAAAAAAGGAAAGATTTCCTTTGTCTTTCCTTATGAATTTTTTTGGTTAAAGTGCATCTAATATCCTAAAATATTTTTTCAGGTACATTTGGCATCCTAAAGTATTTTGTAATATATCTAGCATTCTGAAATATCTTTCTAAGTGCGTTTAGCATCTTAAAATGTTTTTTAATGCATTTAGGACCTTAGAGTATTCTTTTTAGGTACATTCAACATTCTAAGATATTTTTTAGCATATACAGCACCAAGAAAAAAAAATCTTGGGGTGCTGGACGCTTTCGAAAAATATTTCAAAATACTGAATGCATTAGAAAATATTTTAGGGTGTTAGAAGCACATGAAAAAATTCTTTAAGGTATTGGATATATCTTAACGTTTTTTTATTTATTTTCATGAATAGTGCATTGTTTGTAAGGCCAGAAATATGGGCTGGGGTTTGTGGACCAGCATGCCAACTCGTCATAAAGAAGCGGGTTATGGTTGGTGTTTTGCCAACCCGTCACACCGCATAACCCATGGCCACGAGTTGGCAGGTTGGCCCGCCTAACTTGTCACTTTTTTTAAAAAAATTTTTTACATAAATAATATGTTGTTAAGTTTGAAAATTTTCTTCCCTCATTTACATTTCAATTTTCATGTTACATATCTAAACAACAAATATTAAAAAAAAAAAGCACATTATATTTATAACAAAAATTTAACAACTAGAATAAAAAATAAGACAATATTTATTATGGAAAAAAAGTGTTTTAGAAAAATATTGTGAATGAATTGAAAAAAAAAAAGATAGAGGCACTTCTAATTTATTAAGAGATAGTTTTTTTAGTTTTTTTTTATCAAACATGGTATTTGTATGAACAAATTAAAATTTATCAATTGATGAGTTGATGTTAAATGTTAATCATTTAGAATATTTGTAATGTATTGTTTTATATTTGTATTGATTATTTTAAGTGTGGTTAAACATAATTTATATTACTTTCAGTCCTTAATATAAAAACTCATTTGACTTTTATTTTGGTCTTAAATATAAAATATTATTCTCAGTTTACTTTTTCTCTCATATTTATCCTTTTTTTCCTAAGATAATTCTTGTGATAATGGTAGTTCTAGCAACAAACTTGATTAATAACAATATCTTAGGAAAGACAATACCTATTTATTACAAATAACTAATATAATTAATCTTCTTAATCTACTCAAATTAGTCAACTAGTTCTTATATTAAGAATCGAAAGTAGTACTTGTGATTGCTTTAGAAATTTTGGATCACTATTTATTACTTTGAAAAATTGAATAAAAAATAAGATTTAAAAATCGAGAATTTAAAAAACAAAAAAGATGATGGGGTTAGGGTTGGCATTTTTTCAGTTTGTACTCCCACACTGCATAACCGACTGGTTGTGATGGGCTGGCCTGCAATCCACAGATTAGTCCGAAATTCCCACCTAAATAGCAAAGTAGTCCGCTTGTATGATGAAATACTTTACTTTGAATGAAAAGAATCTTCTACATAACACATTAAAAAGTTATTTTGATTAGAAAAATATTTAGATAAAAATGCTTATATCCATTATCTCTAGTAAAGTAATATTAATTAATGAATTAACCTCATCATTGACTCATTTTTTCTTGGGAAAAAAAAGTTGACAAGCAAGAGCTAAGAGATCGAGTGTGCTTATTTGATGATTCTTCAAAAGTTTCAATTGTTGTGAACAGGATCTTTAAATAAAAATAAGCATGCCTTTTAGTAAATATGAGGTAAAAGTCATTTTCTACTCAAGCTAATTAAAGAATGTTTGGTAATAATTTGAGATAAATAACGCTCCCTAATATGTGAATATTTTTGGCTCATTCTTTGTATATGTTTGACAAAAATAAATACTGCCTCTAGTCTAATTATAAGAGCCAGTTGACTATTTGAGGAGATTAATAAAGTAAGTTGAGTTAGTTATTTGTCCTAAATAGGTATTGTCTTTCCTAAAATATCCTTGCTAATCAAGTGTATTGACTAGAATTATCATAGTTGGAAGGACTACTTTGAAAAAAATATATATAAATATGAGAGACAAATAGATTGAGGTCTTATATTTAGGACCAAAATAAAAATCAAACAAGATCTTATATTAAGAACCGGAGGTGGTATTTATTCACACATCAAAGGTATATTGTATGCACGTTGAGTTAACATATAGCTTGAAAAAGTTGCTTAAACAATGAAAATATTCTCTTTTACTAAAAAAAAAAATTAATCTTTTACGAATTGCTTAGGAAATAGTTATAAAAGACTAGCTTTAAAATATAATGCTTAAAACAATTTGCGTGCTCCTTTTTTTTTTAAAAATTTATTTATAAACATAATAAACTTTGCATCCAAAGGTTTTTGAACAGCCAGCAAGGCAAAGTCCACGTGGAACATACGCATCATATCACAAGTTATCTAAACAGAGGGCACTGCTAGAATGAATAAATTATCACATTAGAAGATACGTTCATCATACTATCTCGAATGAGATTATTTCTAATAAAAAAATATTTATATTTAGAAAAAAGTAAAAAAACAAATTATTGAGAAAAAGCAAATCCTGTCTTCTTGTCTAGCAATTTTTTTTTAATTAAAAGGGAATGTATTAACGATATTATTTTATAAATGGAGCAAATCCGCAACGTTCTATTTATTAAAGGTTTTCACGTTGGATTGTTCTCTCAAGCACATTCTTGGGTCATGGCCAAACCCCCCCCCCCATTCTTTCCTGAGCACCAAGTCAATTGGTGGTGGTGCCGTACTCATATGTTTAACTTTTATTTGGAATTCTAACAGAAAGAGTTAATTTCTTACAAAGTAACGAACTAATATTCGAATTCTTATAGGAGATATGTTCATATTAATGTTCGATATTAGAGAATATGATTACTTTTAATAAAATAGATGTTTCGAATATGATTACTTTTAATAAAAAGATACCTATACTTTAATTTTTTTTAAAAAAAACTTCTATTGGGTTCAGCCTCTTCCTTCACCTCTCTTTATCCTTTTTCATTGGGCTCCCGCGAACAATATTAATTAATATCAAATTCAGCAAGTTAGTTAATCCACCTAAACGTAATTAAAAATGTTAGTTAAATTAGTTAATATGATACTCTTTTGATTCTTAATATATAACTCAATTGTTGAGTAGGTTTCGGTTCTAAATATAAGGCTTATTTCTCATATTTATTAATTTTCTCTAAATTACTCTTATGGATACTCCCTCATCCACAATTAAGTAGACAAGAAATATGGAATATTAAAAAAGATGAATATAGTATTTAGAAAAAATGTATCACATTTCTTATAATAAATTAACTTATCTAACTTCTTTAATCTAATCAAATTAGTTAAATGGGTCTTATATTAAAGATCGGAGGAGTATATGTTTTCTAAAACATCCTGAGTATCTTTTTTAATTTCTTTTTTCTCTTTTCTGCTTGATTATTATTAAAGAATATTAATAAAATTAATAAATATATAAAATTAATACTCTTCTAGTCTTATTTATAAGACACTTCCACTATGTTTCACACAGACCAAGAAAAACCTTCAATTTCATTAACTCTCATTTAAATTTTAATAACTTTCCAGCTTTACCCTTATTTAATATACTCCTCCGGTCCTTATTATAAGACCCAATTTGACTTTTTATTTGGTCCTAATTATAAGACCCAATCCATTTTCTCTCTTATATTTATGCATTTTTTTCCAAGATAATCTTTCTAATAATGATAGTTTTAGTCAATATACTTAATTAGCAAGGATATTTTAGGAATAACAACACTTATTTATTATAAATAACCAACTTAACTTACTTCCTTAATCTCCTCAAATAAGTCAATTGGGTTTTATAATTAGGACCGGAGGAGTACATTATACCTCATGCAAACAAAGTCAACACAATAATAATAAGAAGTAAAATTGTGCATTCATACAAAAAATTTCTCTCAATTCCTATAATAGGATCAAAAAATATCTTCTCTCTACTCTATAAAGAGGATCAGAAGAGTATTAATTAGTAGAAAGTATTATTCCGTACCTATTTGTAATTGCAATCATGGTCGCGGGAAGAACCGGCAACCCGGAAATCCAATATGAATCGGGTCGCTGAAAAAACGAAGCCGTGAACAAACACTTCACTCTCTCTCTTGCTCTGTCACTCCTCTCTCGCACTCTGAAGTCTGAACCATGGCGATGGAAAAGCCATCTTCTTCCTCCTTACTCTACCTTTTGTCCCTCCTCTACCTCATATCTCTCTTCTTCAACCACTTCTCTCGCTGCTCTTTTGTTCTCGCCGACTCGCATTTCGAAGGCTTCGAAGCCGACGGCGAAGATGATTCCGATGAGGAACTCATCGATCCTACTTCTCTCCGATCACCTCCCGTGACGGTATCCCATACCACCAAACTCACCCCGCCTGATCCCAAAACTCCTGACCCAGCTCCATCCCTGAATTCTCATTCCGATATCCAATCCCCACCTTCGGATCTTCCCAAGACGTCAACCGTCACCACAGCCTTTGAATTCTGGGATGAAGATGAATTCGAAGGCCTCCCCACTGAGCAATCCGCTTCGGACACTCCTGTTGTTGAGGCAAATGCCAAACCTGTTGGCAATAGTTCGGAATCAACTGATCCTCCGAAGCCTATGAATGTTAAGGGTTGGCGTTCATTTTGGATTGAGATTGTTTCCGGAAGTTTTCTGATCACATTTGCCGTTAATTACTTCCATGGGAAGCGGGAGAACGAGCATATTGCCCTTGCCTGTGCTGCTCAATTCGCTGCGAAGGATTCGATTTTCGAGAAGAATTTTTGTGTTGTGGGGATTGGCGAAGGTGGTGATGACTCTCCATTTTTGTTGAAAGAAGGGCAAACAATATTCAAGTTCTACGCCAGTGGTAGAAGGTATTGCCAGGGGCTGTTGGCTACGATGGAGTTGAAGAGTAGGCAGGATCTGATATCGAGGATATGCAGTATGGTCGTGCCCACTAGGGACGAAATTACCTTTGAGGCGTACATGAATGAGGATGCCATGGACCATGTGGTGTTTGCCATGACAAAGAAGAAGGCTGCGAAAGCCATGCAAAAAGATGAGAGAGATTTACAGAGGTTTGCGAGTCTTCTTTCGCCTCCTAACGGGAGAAAGTGGGTGGCTGAGGAATTGACTGTTATTTCAGAATCAAAAGAAGTGGCTGCTGATTTGATTACCGAGGCGGTGCTTGACCAGGTTTGGAATTATTTTGTTTACTAGTGATGAAATCATATGTCCCTCATTTTGCATTATGTTCTATGGAGCTTGATTGTTTCTAGTTGGTGTGTACTTTGAACTTGTTTGATTGCTCAATTCCTCGCGGAATTCCTCTAAGCTACATTCCAACTATATGTTTAAATCATTGAATGGTACCATTACTCACGGTGAATGTTTTCATAAGGAGGAGCATTTATGAACTTTTTGTTGCCGACATGGGTTAGCTATACTTCATTTGGAGTGAGACAATGGTCATGAAGAGAGACAACGTAAAAGGAAAAAAATTGTTACAAAGATTGGATGTAAACTTGCGGTACAAACTATCTCAAAATGATTGAATGCATCTATGGCTGTCGAGATCTTAATTTGCAAAATGAATCTCCAAATATCAATGACCTTTATCCCTTGGCACCCAATCTTTTTGGTGGGCCTTTGTACATGCTCCTTCACCCCTTTTTTTAAAGTGGTCATGTGTCCTGACTGGTAATAATGGAGTGGGCTTTAGTTGTTTTCTTCCCTGAAAACGAAAAGAGTAATAAATATATATAATTGTTTTCTACGCAGCCAGAAAATGTATCTTGGATCAGCTGCACGGTTATTATTCTGTCGAGGTTAAATTTGTTTCTTGGACAAAAAATTGAACTTGATCAATATGAAATAGGTGTTCGGTGACAAAGCTTTTGAGAAATTTGGAAAAAGTTTCATTTCTATGCATTTCTCTGATCAACACCAAGGCATCCGCAGGAAGGTATTGGTGTTCAAGTTTGTGCTTCCAGCTGTTAACAACATGGCTCATCTAGCACGACTAGTGGCTCTTGTGCCGTATTACATTGAATTGATTGGGAGATATAAATTAAGTTCTCAGGTTGGTGAATTCTCCCTACCAAATTACAATGCGCTCACAACTTGTTTTTCATGATGATCACTTAAGCACAATATGATACATGATTTGACTTTGGTTTTTTGCAGGCTCGGTCCAAGACAGAGGTTGCCCGGGTAAGGGTTTCTCAAGAAATACAAAAGGATCTTCGTAATGCCAGGCAAGAGGCCATGCAGAGAAGAAAGGCAGAAAAGAAAAAGATGATGGAAGAGGCTGAGGCGAAGCTCAGTGCCGAGGCTATCCGAAAGAAAGAAGTAAAAGAGCGTGCTCGTCAGATGAGAAAGCCCATGCCGAGAATGAAAATGACCCATGGTTCCTAGTGTTTGAAGTTTCTCAAGTTTCATGGTTCAGTTTTTAGAACTCATCTTCTTGCTGGGACCATGCCTTCTGCAGAGGCATGGAAGGCTTCCCATCTGCCCTTCGACCTTCCTAAAATTATAGTTCTTCTAGTTTGCATGACCGGTATGGGGGCGTTTGGGATCACGTTTGGGATCCCAAACGTGCGTCCCCACCTCAAAAGCTAAGAAGCAAAGAAAATATTTGTTTGGGTTCACGTGTGGCTAATTGAGCTTCTGAGGTTGAAATGGGTTTCTGGGTGAAGTAAACTTTCGGTGCGTTTTGGGGTGCTGTGAAAGAAACCGTTGGAAAATTTATGACTGTGTTAAAATTTTTTACCCACCTGATCTTCATCCCTGCATGAATATTCTCTCACCTCAATAATAAAACAAAATCACAAGTTCACAACACACACACTCCTCAGTTACGAGAGCCCCTGTATGATTTCTAATTTATATATTTATCCATTACATATATATTAAGTATTTTATTATTTTTCAATTTCCTTCTAATAATAACTGAATTTTTTTATTTTTAATAATTTCATTTTCAATACTCCTTTTAAAATTGTCACATTATATATATAATTCCTTTATAACAATAAATTAAATTTTCTTATTTTAATAATTTTATTTTCATTACTTTTTTTAAAATGGCCACATTATACATATAATTTTTTTCTAATAATAAATTAAATTTATTTACTTTTAATAATTTTATTTTCCTTCTTAAAAAATAGTCACATTATATATATATATATATATCTAATATTAGATATCTACTATTAATAAAATTCATGTCCTTTTAAGTCATTTTACATCTAAACTTATTTTTACATTTATCATCCAAACAAGTTTTAGCTTCTCAAACTGACTTTTTTTTCAAAATCCAATCCTAACATAAATCACATTACCCTATCTGATTTTTAGCCAATTTGACTTATGTTACTTCTCCACTGCTAATCCAAACATATCCATAAGTTAACTAGAGATGTCTAACCGCGTCCTGGCAGGATTTTGAAGGGAACAAAGTCTGAAATTATAAAATATATGTATTCTTTCTCTGCTCCTAATGATAGCAACGTAAAGCTAGTGGTCACAGTTCCTAGGTGACAAGATTATATTCTCTTCTAGTGAACATAGACCTCTTCTTAGTGTTAGTTCTTACAAATGGTTCAGATAGAATCGTTATCCGAAGTTTGACATGGCTGACTGGGCAGACAATTAAATTGAGATATTGAATAGACTTAATTGATTTTACAAACTGCAAAATTTATTTGGTTTAAGGATTTGATTGGCTCAGTTCTTCCCCACAAAATGATTCTTCTCCGTTTTTAATTTTTTAAATATTTTATTTGAGTTACTCGTATATGCTATTGCAGAATGTTGATTATGATTTATTAGTTAAATACCTATAAATAAGAAAGAAGGATAAAATCTGATGATGGTGGTCGTGATTTTATTTTATTATTATTATTTTTTGGGGTAATGGTGATTTTATTTATATAGATGTTAATAAAATTTTTAAATGATTAATAATTTAAAAGAAATTCGGAGACCAATCACCGACAGCAGAGTTATGTTGTGGTGGAGTACCACATAGCAGTAACTGGGATTTGGGATGGAAAAACCTACAAACTGAAAAAACTGAAATTTGAAAGAGAGCAGCGTTCTGCTACAGCGTCTGCTCCCGTACTCCTTGGCCAATGTCCGTTCCACGTCATCATCAAATGGCCCACGGGCCACAGCATGGATTACTGTTCTATTGTTATATGTGCGTGCGAAAATTTATAAAATTACCGAATTATTTATGAATTACGAGTATAAATATCCACTTAATTTAACTTTGATTTTTTGCCAGCTCACAATCTAGTTAATGTTAGAAGATTGGTGCATAATTAACTAGATTAGATCAATATTTGTTTCAAGACACTTGGCCATTTACGTCAAATGATGTGGATCCAAATACTTCTTGATTATTATATCAATTTTCACTTCTAACATCAATCAACTTGAAATAATTTTTCTCAAAAAAAAAAAAAAACATAACAACTTGCATTAATTATAAACCATGAATAGTAAAAGGTTGATTAGAGTTGGTATGTTTATATATTATATGCTATTCTTATTTTTCACAATATATTTTAAATGTTAAGATTTATAGGAAACTTATTTATGGGACAAGGAGTAAATTAGTTACACTATTATCTCCCGAAATAATTATCTAATTTATTTTTTAATTGAATTTCAAATTTCCAAACGAATATACTATGAACAAAGAGTTCAAGTTTTGATAGTTTTCTTTTTTCTATTTTTTTTAATTTTAACTTTCCAAACAATTTTTCAATAATTAGGGGGCCCATTTGAAATAACTTATAAGTAGCTTTTCAATCATGATTTACAGAATACGAGGTAAGTACGTGAGAAGAGTTTTGTCTCAACTTACATAAAACATGTTTATAAATGATTTCAATTATGATAACAAACAGAACTTATATCTGAAAGTTATGTCTAAATATAAGTTAGTTATTACATAAAAATCTGAAAAATAATCTGTCAGGTTAAAGACGGAAGATTCTAGCCTGTAAAGGTCGGGTCCGACTGGTCGTAAACGGGAACGCAAGGCGCCTTCCCTACCACGTCATGGGCTCGATACCTGCGCGAGGTACCTTGGGATTAGTCTGACCGATAAGCTGTGATACCCTGAGTTAACGATACCATCCTACTAAAAAAAAAGACGGAAGATTCTATTTAGAATTCCCCCTCAGCAAAAGCTTGATGCAAATATAAAATTTATTATTTTTATGGCTTTCCCCCTCACGTCCGCTCATCGCGCACCCTGAATCAGAGTGAGCTCTGTGAAGAAGGCTACGTTCTTCTAAAATTTCATTATTTTATTGAAATTTAATATTTATTTCTGTGTTTGATTTAATCCCATCTTCTGGTCGATCCCACCTACGTTTGTTTAATTCGCAGAACTTCACAATCACTGCCCCATAAACCCCCCCCCTCTCTCTCTCTCTGTGTGTCGCCCGAAGAATGCCAAAGAGCAATGAAGATTCGAGTTCGAGTGTCAGCCTGAACAAGGTAGAGAGGCCACCATTGAAGAAACCTAAGACACTTTCAATACCCTCTTCGACTTCGACCACTAACCGAAGGTTCGATCTCGGAGTTTCTACTGAAAATGGAAGCCCTGCAAGCGGTAATGGTGATTTTCCAAATGAGCAGTGGAAGTATCCTTCTTTCCTCGGGACCACGAGAAGGAAAAAAACCACAGTCAAAGCCATGCCCAACAAGTTTCAGAACCTCGAATTTTCGAATTCGATGGGTTCCAAGATGGGTGGGAACCAGAAAAAGGCGGGAAATAGCTCAGTTGTTCAAGCTCCTCCGACCAATTCTTCTTCTTCTACATCCTCAACTTCTTTTTCTTCATCTACTTCTACATCAGTTGTTACTTCGCAGGCGCACTCCAGCACCAGGAGGCCTCGCCAGAATAACCATACTTCGATCTTGTATTTGGTCAGTGATTTGTTTGCACTTGATATTGTTTTCTTTTATTTGTTGTTTTCGCCCATTTTAGTTGAGAGAAATAACCTTAAGTGAGAGAACCATGAATATTATTGTTTTTTCTTCAATAGTAAGCGCCTCAATTTTTTTCCCTCGAATTAGAGGAAGTAGATGGGGATGTATAGTAAATAAAGATCTCTTTTTTTTTTTTTTTTGGGTTATTGTCCCCTTGGTTCCCCACTGAATAGCCTTGTGGTGGTGAAGGAGGAGAGGAGACTTGCTGGGGAGCTTTTTGCCCCCTGTTTGGATAAGAAGGAGCTCTTGTCTTAGCATTAACTAAAATGAATATCTAGTCAGCTTCTGCTGAGAAAGCATCTGTAATAGTTAACAGCGACCTTTGCTACCATGGATCCCTTGGGGACACTTCCGTGCAAAATGTATGATAAGCTGTGTAGGAGGTCTTTCCTGATATAGATCTTGAATGAAAAATTTATCAGCGATGTCTTCGTGGGATCATATCATCTCATGCACGATTTCATTCTAAAACCCTAGTTGCAGCATTGGCTCGCTTTCAGTATGCATAAATGATAGAGGTTATATATTTGATTAACACTATGATTATGGCTTCCACTTATTCTCTTGTTACTTAATGAAATAAGGTATCTGTCAGGGCCTAATTATAATTTCTAATTTTTTTTTCCTATTGCAGTTCATTTTCACTTGTATAATTTTTGTACCTTATTCGGCTCATCTACAATATAGGCTTGCAAAACTGGAGGTATGTTTTGTCTTCTTAAAAATCACATTTCAGTTTCCTTGGATAGATTATTTATCCATATTTACAATTGCTTAAATTGCAGGGTGAGAAAATTAACCTGTGCTGTGAAAATGATATTTGTCACAAGAATGGAAGGGGCTCTTTAGGAGAAGATGATGCTTCGTTTTCCAATATCCAGAACACTCACAGTAGAAAAGTTGCTTTGTACATTGTGGTGGCCACACTCATCTTGCCATTTTTGTTGTACAAATATCTTGACTACCTTCCTCGAATAATCTATTTGTTCAGGAGAACTAATAACAAGGAGGATGTACCATTAAAGAAGAAAATTGCTTATATGGTAGATGTATTTTTCTCCGTATATCCTTATGCAAAGCTACTTGCACTTCTCTTTGCAACTCTATTTCTTATAGGATTTGGTGGTTTAGCATTGTATGCGGTGACTGGTGGTAGCCTTGCTGAAGCTCTTTGGCATTCTTGGACTTACGTAGCTGACTCAGGAAATCATGCCGAAACAGAAGGAACCGGGCAGAGGATTGTCTCTGTCTCTATTAGTTCAGGAGGCATGCTGATATTTGCTATGATGTTAGGTCTGGTTTCAGATGCTATATCAGAGAAGGTGGATTCACTCAGAAAAGGGAAGAGCGAAGTTATAGAAATGAACCACGTACTCATTCTTGGGTGGAGTGACAAATTGGTAATCTGCTCTGTGTTCTCTCCCTCTCTCTCTCTCTCTATATGTGTGTGTGTGTGTGTGTATTTGTCATTTAGCCCAGAATGTCATGTTAATCACCTTTTGTTGGGGGGTGGGGGGCATAATTTATCCTCGTGTGTATACACTTCTTGCATGCTAAACATTTTTCTTTTTAATAGTTCTCTTTTTCTGAGATTGCCTATGTAATATTCTTTTAAAGTAGGTATAAAAAAATAGATGCTAATAAATTATAATTGAATGCAGGGTTCTCTTTTGAAGCAGCTGGCAATTGCAAATAAGAGTGTGGGTGGTGGCGTTATAGTGGTGCTTGCAGAAAAGGAAAAGGAGGAAATGGAACTTGACATAGCAAAGCTGGAATTTGACTTTATGGGAACATCAGTTATATGTAGAAGTGGCAGTCCTCTTATACTAGCTGACTTAAAGAAGGTATGAACGGGTGTTTTTGTTCTATCATTTAGGCATGTGTCACATTTGCCAAAACTAATTTACTGCTTCAGCGCAAGAAATAATTGTTTGGTTTCTCTTTTCTAACTTTTTGCCTCACTAGTTGTTCTTATCATACTGAATCTTTTTTCTCAGGTTTCAGTTTCAAAGGCACGTGCTATCATTGTGTTGGCTTCCGATGAAAATGCTGATCAGGTCATTCATCATTTCATTTTACTTTCATTTGACCTGTTAGGTGATGCTTGTATTTCCTGAGGACATTCTCCTTTACTAATGTTTTATTCATGTCTGTCTCCAGAGTGATGCTCGTGCTTTGAGAGTTGTTCTTAGCCTCACAGGAGTAAAGGAGGGTTTAAAGGGCCCTGTTGTGGTGGAGATGAGTGACCTTGATAATGAACCCCTTGTCAAACTTGTGGGCGGAGAACTTATTGAGACAGTAGTTGCACATGATGTAATTGGACGTCTGATGATTCAGTGTGCTTTGCAGCCTGGCCTTGCACAGGTTATAAAAGAACTGCATCCCTGTAGTAAACTTTACTCAAAATGGGGGATCCTATCTCTAGTAATAGGAGCTGGGTGAATAAGATCAGCTTCATCCATCTCATGTTGAGTTGTTCCTATTTTCTGCTCTACTTGTTTGCCTAAGTAGAATATGCTTGCTAAGTGGAATCCAGAATTTCTTCTTAATTATCCGCAACCCTGTGCATTTACTTGGATTCAAAATTTTCAGGATCCCCCTCACCAAAAAGAAACCGCTCACCAAGAAAATTTTCAAGATCCCATTAAAAAAATCAACAATCACATCAATTATTAGCAAAATAAAACTGCGACTCATTTTAATTTTATATAATATACTGATCCAACAACTAATTAGCTAAATTCTGAAAGTGCTCTTTGTAAAATAATTGCTGTTGTCTAGACTGGGGAAGTCACAACCTGTTTTTATAAATATTGCCACGAGTGTGATGGACTTTTCTTTATTGCATCAGATTTTTATATGACCTTCTTTAAATTTGAAGTGCTGTTTCATTTGTTTTCTTCTCTCGATCAGATATGGGAAGATATACTGGGGTTCGAGAATGCTGAGTTTTACATCAAAAGGTGGCCTGAACTGGATGGTCTATGTTTTAAAGATGTACTGATTTCATTTGCTGATGCAATACCCTGTGGAATTAAGGTGGCTGCAGAAGGGGGGAAAATTATTATAAATCCGGATGATAGTTATGTCATGAGAGAAGGGGATGAAGTTCTTGTTATAGCTGAGGATGATGACACTTATTCTCCAGGACCTCTTCCAGAGGTTAACTTTCTATTATAACTCTATATTGCTGCACTGGGTTTATTCAGTATGTTTACTGATTGGAGAAATGACTAGGTTTTACTTTTTTAATTCAATGATTGCTGTGTCACTTGTGTAATAATTTCCATAGCCAGACAGCCACAATAGCTATTAGCACATTGTTTTAATCTCATAATTTGTGCAGGTACGCAAAGGTCATTTTCTAAAGATACCTGATCCACCAAAATATCCAGAGAAGATATTATTTTGTGGCTGGCGGCGTGATATTGATGATATGATTATGGTAATTTTCTATATTGTGCTCTATCCATAGTACTGCCTTTATCACCCTTATCTGTTTAATAAATTGGAGTACTACGCCAGTCAATTTGATGCAGGCGAAGAACTAATTCAGATTTTTACCACATAAGGTCAATTTGATGCCAATGTTTAAAAACTCTTGATATCAATTAAATTACTAAAGAAGATTAAGTATGCTAATGTTTTTATCAAAGATTGTTTTTGGAAACAAAAGACTAGCTAGAAAAAGCCAAAGACAGAAACTTGATATTTTTTCGTGGTCTATTATTCAGTGAATAACTAATACTATATTACAAGGAGGGGATAGTCTTGAGAACAATTGGATCTCATCATTTTATGTTTTTCCATCATGTCCAACAAAATCTTTATTGAAGTCAAGGAACACAAACACACACATGCACATGCACGCACATACAAGATCTTCTATCAAAGAGTTTGTATGCAAATCTTGAAGCTTTAAAGCAAATTGCAAAAGTGAACTATACTTTTTATCCCACTGATAGACCTCGTGATGATGGCAGATTGTCACATGTATGTAATATATCCATGTCCCACAGATTTTTTGCCCACATTCTGACTTTCCCATTGCCCTTGAATTCCTTAATCAATCAATTGGAATTTTTTAGGTTCTTGAGGCGTTATTGGCTCCCGGGTCAGAACTGTGGATGTTTAATGAGGTTCCTGAAAAGGAAAGAGAGAAGAAGCTTATTGATGGTGGACTTGATGTTTCTCGCCTACTGAATATAAAACTTGTTCATCGGGAGGGAAATGCTGTGATTAGACGGCACTTGGAGTCTCTTCCTTTGGAGACTTTTGATTCAGTAAGTTTAAAAATCCTCTTTTCTTGTTTTTTAATAGGGCGCATTGGTTTCATGGGATCTGTGTAACCATGCTTAGGGGAATAAGGCTTGTTAGTTGTTTTTTCTTCCTGGCTTAATCCTCAACCTGCAATATATGTATGAATTTTCATATTCACTGATCTCATGAGGGACCAACCATAAAGTGTAATTTTAAACCGAACTGAGCTATTCTATGATGAGATAAATGATCAAATTTTATTATAATGGATAGGATAGAAACTCTAAGTGCATGTTTGGTTCTATTTTTGTTTTACTATTTTGAAAAATAGTTTTCTAAAGTCATTTGTAAACAATAACAACAATAAAACCTTATCCTATTAAGTGAGATTAGCTTTATGAATTACACAATATCATTGTGCTTGATCAACAATCAATTTGAAGTCATTTCTAAACAATTTGAAAATAAAATTAGCAATTCACCGGGAAAAAAAAAGTGAGAATTCCACCCAAAAAAAATTGAAATTACTAAATCCCAAATAAGGAATTCCTACAAAAATGTATTGTTATTTGCAAATCTAGTATTGTCAAAACCTATTAAAGTGTTATTACCAAACCTGACTTGAAATTTAGCAATTTCAAGCTTCTTTTTCAATAAAATTAGCAAACATGTTTGGATAATTTGATCTTAAAAAGTCTTTAAAATAATCATTTGACTCAAATTTGACATCTTCTGTGGTGTGCCTGTGTGAAGTTATATTGTGTGCGCGCATGCACTTGCAAGGGGTGTTTGACGTATTAACATGTCCATGTGGTGTTGCATTTTTTCTATATGAATACGCCATGTCATGTTTCTTTAATAACCCAATTACCAAGCACAAATTATTGGTTATCTTATGAGTCCATTTCATCTTATAATCTTATTCAAAATATATAATAATATGAAAGAGATCATGGGTTCATATTTTACTAAAATGTCATCAATAATTTGCTGGCTTCAAGCTTGTCACCCTAAGAACATGCACTAACAAATTTATGTGAACTGTATCTGTTTCCTGTTTCCTGTTTCAGAAACAATTTAGAAAAGGAGAAAACGTATGTATAGTTTTAATGTAATTGCTATCAGGTTCTCCAATGAAAATGAGAGAAGAAATGCACGATTATTACAACTTAGTATCACATGATTGAGCCTTATGTTTCACAACACAATAGAACTTGGAACATTAAATAGAACTGCTAACTTCGTAACACATGCAAATGGAAACTTTTTTCAATTGTATACTAATTCTGAGGACAGATCCTTATTCTTGCAGATGAATCAGTAGAGGACTCCGTTGCTCATTCTGATTCCAGATCGCTAGCCACCCTTCTCCTCATTCGTGACATACAGGTACAACTTTGCTTATCATATGTTTCATATCAATGATCATCGTCAAACTATTATCCTAAAAGAAACAAACCTTTTTCCTTTTCTGCTTTGCAGTCAAGACGTCTACCTTACAAAGATTCTAAATCAAGTACTTCTTTGAGGTTGTCTGGGTTTTCTCACAGCTCTTGGATCCGCGAAATGCAGCAAGCTTCAGATAAATCAATTATAATTAGTGAAATTTTGGATTCTAGGACTAGAAACTTGGTGTCTGTTTCCAGAATCAGCGATTATGTGTTATCAAATGAGCTGGTTAGCATGGCGCTAGCTATGGTGGCTGAAGACAGGCAAATCAATCGTGTTCTTGAAGAATTATTTGCCGAGGAGGTATTTTGTCTGCCCTTGTTTGAAATCCTTTACCTTGCTTCGGTCACAACCTTTGCTTGATAGATTAATTTCCCCGAAATTGCTCATCCTCTGAACTTTTGAGTTTTTGTTTGAACTTCCAATGTTGTGTGGGGAAAATTTTAAATGGTTTGGTTTAAAATAGCCCAATTATGATATTTGTTCTTATGGCAGGGCAATGAGATGTGTATTAAGCCGGCGGAGTTCTATTTGTTTGACCAAGAAGAACTCTGTTTTTATGATATAATGTACAGAGGTCGTGAAAGGGGAGAGATAGTTATTGGCTACCGCCTCGCTAACCAAGACTTCGCCGTCATCAACCCTCCAGAAAAGTCAGAACCTAAAAAATGGTCCCTTGATGATGTTTTTGTAGTCATTGCCTCAGGCGATTGATGGGGGTTAGTACGATCCTTCTAGTTCCTTAATTTGTTATGACTGGATGCTTGCAGTAACCTTAACTTTCTTGACACCAGAAAGTAGCAACCTTCTCTTTGCTTGCCAATTGCGACAAACAATTAACTGGTAATGTAAAATCTGACAATATGGTGATGCTGATTCAAGAAAAAGGATATCAGCTCGTGGTTTTTTCTTTGTAGCGAAATTCTTTTGCAGCACGACTGCAATTTTGAATGTGAAATAATCTTTTCTTTTCTTTTTAATCAAAAGGAGCCACAGTATGACTATTCCTCCCATCCGAGGGCTTAAGTAAGTCTGAAATAATCTTCTCAAACTGATACTCTTCCGGTCCTAAATATAGAAGTATTATTTACATATTGCTCTTTTTTCTATATTTCATAACCCCCCCCCCCCAAAAAAAAAAAGTTTCGCCCATATGAATTCTTTCTTCTCTTGTCGTAAGACACAACAAAGGCAAACGATAAATAGATTCTGTTCGGAGTATGTACAGACGACATTATTTTAGAGCTCTTGTCGTAAATACATATGATGGTCAATGAACAGATTGATGGAGGAATTCCATGAAAAAAAAATTTTAATTTAATAAACCTCAAAGAAGGAATTGCAATAAAAATGTGTTGTTATTTGCAAGTTGACAAATCATATTAAAATATTATTAGCAAACCTGATTATTTACCAATTTCACACTTTTTTTGGAAGGATTCTCCCATTCTAAAATAACAGAACAGGGTATAAGTTCCATATAAATATGCAAATGTTGAGTCATGGGTACTAAAGTGTAGTTTTTGCGACAACATTGTTGGAGACAATAGCAATATGCAGTTTCATATGTGGTAATATTCTTTAGTGTTATTCCTAACCATATACTACCTTTAATTTTTATGTAAGAGTTAGTTAATTAATTTGAGTAGATTAAAAAAAATAGACAAGTTAATTATTTGTAATAAATAGGTGTTATCTTTTCTAAAATATTCTTACTAATCAAATACATCGATTAGAACTATCATTATTATAAAGACTACTTTGAAAAATAGATAAATATAAGAGACAAAGTGGATTAAAGTCTTATATTTAAAATCAAAATAAAAGTCAAATAAATTTTTATATTAATAATCAGAAGTAGTATATAAATACATGCATATTGGTTCTAATTCTCACAATCCTTGTGAGGGAAAGGCATTAGAGAGAAACTGCTTCCTTCTTGCATGCACCTTCTTTTTCTTTATTGTTGCTTGATCTATGATAAATATCAGAAGCATAGGGTGCTAGTTTCTTCTTTCTGCATTCATATGGGTTCAGACTCATAATAATTTTTTACTTAACAATTAATATTCCTTGTGTGAGAAAGAGATACTGCAATAGAGTAGAAATAAATAAAATACCTATTTTAATGGCGTTTCTTGAGAAAAGATTGGAGTGAATGCCTTCTTTTGCCATTGGGATGCCTGAACACAATTAATTAAATTTCCTATTATTAATTTCCTAATCACAATCATTAGTTTGTTCCGTTCTCACACAAAGTGTCCTGCTTAATATTCATAACATTAAATAATGAATTTCTAAACATCAAACATTAATTAGCAGCTTTCGTTTCGGACCCTTTTTGTAATAACAAACTACACACGGAGAGAGGTGTATGGTACATAAGTTGAGTTGGTGGTTGTTTGTCCATTTTTGGAGTTGTAGTATTAGTTTATGAGCTTTCACCAGCAAGAAGCAAAATAACTTGACCTTAACCAAAACCAGTTATTAAGTAATTAATTATTAATTAATACCAATAATCAATTAATTACTATGTTGTGGCATAAAAAAAATTAAAAAAGAAAACCTTATCAAGAGGAGCATGATCATAGACACGTGAAGAGCACCATCATGAAATATTGTGAGTTGGTCAGGTGAACATGATCTGACCTCTGCTGTTGTTAATGATGACATTAATTGTCCTTAACAATAATTCTCAATCTCTTTTGTTTTCGAAATTTACAATTTTTTACTTAAATTATTCTTATTGACGACATATATTAAATGAATTCTCTCCAAGAGGTGGTTCTATTACAAATGATTACTAGGGATATGTTAAGAAAAGTAACATACCTTTTTTACAATAAACTAACTTCTTAATTTTTATAAATTAATTATCTACTTTTTATATTTAGGATCGCCCAAGACAGGTTCTTATATATTACTTACTTGTTTGTTACTAAAACCTGTCCGACTGAATACCTTATTCAAGAATCTTTTTTATCTAATTCAAAGGAACTAATAGAAAAGAGAAATCCTTATGATACGCAAGGTAATTAAATTCATTGGTAATTAATCAAAATCCACACCTACCTTTTCCGGGCAAGAAGCTTGGTCTCAAGAAAAGGAGGTTTATTTTTAAACAAAGTGGGATTGATTAATTTGAATTCATGTATATTATTTGTTGATCCAATGTTGTTGTGAGGCCTTGAGAGAAGATACTTGTTGAACAAGCTTATGGTTTGTGACATGTTTTTGTCTATTTTTGATGATCTCATCAACCCATCAGATCTCTCCCAATCTCCTTCGGTCATCATGTTCCTGTTTGCCAAACCTCAAAATTGACATTATAAATTTATAAGAGTAAAGTAGCATTCAGTATCCTAATCTTATTTTTTAGGTATATTCAACACTCTAATCTTATTTGTGTTACATCCAGTATCCTGATATTATTTTCTTCATGTATTAAGCACCCTGATATTATTTTTTTAATTATGTCTAATATCCTAATCTTTAGGATATTTGAAGCATAAAAAAATTGACATCATGGTACTGGATGCACAATAAATAATATCGAGATGTTGGATACTACTTTACCCAATTTATAATCTCTTATTCGTTCAAAGAAGGAAAAAAACAGAAAGTCTTGTCAAATCAACATATGAGATATAGAGTTTAGGATATGTAATACATCACATTATTCTTCATAAACATTATAACTTAGAATCGTATTGCAAAAAAAAAAAAAGTCTAATTTGTGTGGAAAGAGAGAAAGAAATGAAGTTCTCAGAATCACTACAACAAATTAATTACCTGCACAAAGTTGTGGGCATATAGTGAACGATGTTTGCTTAGTTCTGAGAGCATGAGGTTTTAGATATAATCAAACACTCAAAGAAAGCAAACGCTTAAATGTGCATGTGTGTTTGAATGGAATACATGTCTCTGGGTGAGAAAAAGAATTGTGAATAACGCCTAGAAACGACGTCGTGTCGATGCTTTTGAAACTCTTTTAACCTTAGCTTTGTGTATCCATCTGCGGATCCATGCACACCCATTTAAATTTTCCACTTCGGTTTTAGCTAGCCACCTAACCTATTAGGCTATTATTTGTCTTCTGATAGCGAAAAATACTCCAAAATCATTATACTTATATTTTGATTGATTGAGACTCTCACGTTTAGTTTTCACAAAACCAACCACCCTCCGATTCTGTTAGGAAGATCAAGGATCTTACAATGTAGAATTGAATTGTTATTTTTTAATTATATTTTTTAAATAAGCAAATAAATGTGTGAATTGACTTGCTCGCCAAAATATATCATAAGAACTTGTTAGAATCCTTCAAGGATAGGGACGTTTTTAAGAGTGACAGAAGTAATTAAGTCGTCGTCTTGTGCGGCCTTGAGAGTACGGACTCCACCCACTGTGGTGTTCCGATTGATATTTCCGACTTGATTTCCTCATTGGGAATCTCGTTGCCGAGTGGCGTGTGTGCGTTCGTGTGTTGGCTTTGTTCTGGTAGTTGTCGGAGGTGGGAGGAACAGGGGAAGGATGGAGTCAGGAGGAAGCAGGGCAGGACGCAGTGGTCTGAAACTCAATGTGATCTGGAACGATTCTAGGAAAAGCGGAAAAACCAGCAAAATGGCTATTGGCAAAGTGATAGCAGAGAAAGGGGTAAGTAAGAAATCTATCTGGGCAACAATCCGTAAGGGTTGGAACTTAGGGGAAGGAACAGAAATTGTTGAGATGAATAATGAGGCCTTTATGTTTACCTTTGCTGATTTAAAGGACAAACATAGATTCTTGCGAGGGAGACCTTGGTCTATTCAGGGCTCTCTTATGAGTATACATGACTGGTCAGAATTTATGGTTATCGATGAGGTTAACTTTAATCGAACCCCCTTTTGGGTCCAGTTCCACAATGCTCCGTTAGGTATACTGGAACTAGAAGAGAATATATGCAGAATGGGTAGTTTGGTGGGGGAGTTAGTTTGGTACGAAAAACCAAAAGTGAATGGCAAATTTCATCGAAGTTTTGGTAGAGCTCGGGTCCTGGTTAACTTGAAAAAGCCGCTGGTTCACGGATTCTGGGTAGAACGCCCTGATAAATCTGAAGTATGGGTCTCAGTTAAATATGAGCGTCTACAGGCATTTTGTTACAAATGTGGGAGATTGGGACATGATAGTAGAGCTTGTAAATGTGAAGAAGCTCTTGATGAATATGGCAATGATTTATACGGTCCGTGGCTAGCGACGACAGCAGAGAGAGACAGGGATGAGACTGTAGTTAAATATGAGCAGAAGTGGACAGAAGAAGATTTTCGGCTGGAGTTATCGGCGCGTAGTACTCAAACTCATAAAGCGAGTAGCGGGAATGTGGAAAAAATACGTTATGGGTTTGGAGATAGTAGTGGAGGTGCGGTTACAAGGGTGCAAAAACGTCTGGATTGGAATGAAGAGCCCCTACAAGCTGAAGTCAGCTCTGGTATGTCAGAAGCGCCTGGAAATGATAAGGTAGTAGGGACGAGTGGTGTTGAAACGGATACAGGGGAGAAGGCAAGTCCAAAAAAAGCGTATAAAGTTAACCCTATCATCCAGAGAGAACCAGTATATTTAACCCAATTGAATATGGGGCCGAAGGTGTTGAATGATAAATCACCAATGGATCGTAAGTCTGAAGTAAACAGTTCCAAAGAGTTGAATGTAGTGACCGAGGGACCAGGGGAAATCTGTAA